AACAAAACGAGTCGGGTTAGGGTTGGCTCGAAAAATAAACGAGCCAAAAAACTCAACCCAACCCGACCCGAGTCGGGTTAGAGTTAGCTCGCGGGTTGACTCAAAAAAATAGAAAAAAACAAATTTTCATTGATGCTATAACTTCTAAATTTTTTCCCCAAATTATTAATTCATTCAATACAAAGACATTATACAGATAAACCATAGAAAATTCTTTTTGCAGTTGGACTTGGACTTATTGGCAATTGGCACCACATTCACACTGTCAAACATAGTAACATACTAAAAAAAAGTCCTTAATGCACGGTTTTGGACTTATTGGCAGAGGATATTTTCGTTTGGGTCTTTGGAATTGGAATTTTAGGTTTTAGCTTTTCACTTTACCTTCATTAATTTTTATACTTTTATATTAAAAAAAAATCATAACTCGCGAGCCAACTCGTTTGACCCGTGGATTGGCTCGATTTTTTTCGAGCTGAAACTAGTCGGGCTGACTCGAGTTACTAACTCATTTTTTCTAACCCAACTCGGTTCATTTTAACCCGGTTACGAGCCAACCAAACCTAATTTTAATTGACTGAGCCCATATTTAACAAAGAAAGGTTTGGTAGTTAGTAAAGGGGTGTAGATTTGCGTATATGTTATTTTTAAGTTATTATTTATTTTTACATATTAATGTTTCGTTTTTTAAGTTACAAAAGAAGTCCAAAAGTTTTTTTGTCAAGGTTACAAGTACCTAATGGGAAATTGGGAATTAATTGTTGATAATATTTAATAACTTTTTAAATTTTTATAATAACTTAAATCGAGTACAGAACTCTTGCGGAGACCGTAACAACCACAGAGGAGATGAACCGAAGTACAGGTCATAACCATTCTGTTTTTTTTTTTTCTTATTATTTTTAGAGATAAATATGTTTTTTATTTTTCTGTGCCTGGGAATGAAGAAATTAAGTTGAACCATGATGCTTGAACTAATAAAAATTAACTGAGAGGACTATAACTTTTGGTCTAATAATAATCCAATACTTGCTAACCAGCTGAAGTTAACATCCTACCTTATCAGACCATTCCTATTATATTTAATGATTTCTTTAATCATTGTATAAAACATTAAATAATAAAAATAATTTTAAGATAAATAGAGTAATAAATAAACTAATTATGGTTTCCTGTCTGAGTGCAATAATAATAATAATAATAATGTTTAAAAGCTTTAATCATCTACCTAGCAAATATATAATAAGGGCAGCTCAACAACCATCATTTAATCACCCGTTCATTACCAACTCAAACATTTCACTCAGTTAAGGTCCAATGCTGGAGTAATGCCTTCCACTTATATATGTCCATCAACAAAATTAATTTTTTTGAACATTCGCTTGATTAAATCAAGTTTATAGTTCTTTCTTTATTATAATTGATTTTTCTCTTAAACCTGTGTCCATAGTCCATTTATATCATGATATGTAATTTGATCAAGTGGTTTTGTTGTACTTCTTAGTTTTAATTTAGCTAATAAATATTTTTTTTTAATTAGTTTTGAAATGGATAATGAACATATTTGTTTTTGTTTATTTTTCTTAAGTAATTTGAGCGTATCAAATAGTTTCGTATTGGGATGGGAAATATTAATTTTTTTTAAGAAAAAAAAAAACGTTTAGCAGGTGGAGACTAATTTACTTTTGTAATATGAGTAAACTTTCTTATATTGATGCTTTCCATTATCAATACAGAATTGAAATTTCTATTTTTTGAGGTATCCTTCACTTAAAAGGTGAGAGACTTATTTTTTAAAATACAATTTAAGTGCTGAAGGTAAAAACTTCTAAAATCACTTTTCCACTTCACCCAAGTCCTCTCTCCCTTCCCCTTCTACTCCCTTTACGGCTTTGATGGAGCGCACGTTTGTCGAGGAGGGTGGAGCCTCCCTTAGTTATAGTAATAGGGTCCATTAAAATAAAAATTATTGATGAGTTACCATCTCTATGTAATGTTCTCACTACCATCCATAAGTTTGTCGGATTCGAAGACATTATATGCTGCATTATCAATTATTTCCAGTTTCATGCACGGGAGAATTAGACAAATGCATACATATATTATATTCTATTAATGCTCAGGCAGTTTAATGTATAATACAAAATATATTATTACAAGAAACAAATGAGACAAAGGCAGTAAAATTATATCTTTTTATAAAGGCAAAATGGATTTCATGTTGCATAAATTGCTGCAATAAAAAATAACTACGTATTACGAGTAATATATAGTTATAAAATTTTAAAAAATAATAATTATGGATTATGAATAGTACATAATTATAATATTATTATTTTTTACATACCCTTAATAATTATGTATTATTCATGATACATAATTATGTATTTTCAAAAAATATCCGAATAAACTTGATGATCAACAATCAAACAGGACAGATTAGTATTATGTTTTCTGAAGAAGTTAAATTTTTAAAAATAATTTATAATTAAGATCTATCTGATAATTAATGATTAAATAAGGACTACAACAATAAAAAAGTAGAAGAACATAAGAAAAAAGAGACCTCATAAAAAATAGAGTGGAAAACATCAAAGGCAAAAGCATAACAATTTTAATAAAAAAAGATAAATGTGTCATTTGCCGTTCAAGAATAGATTCCTCTTCATTTTCAATAATTGAGTTGGCGGTGATAAAGGTCCGTTTTCTTCATCATAACTTAAGATATAGATTCCTCCTCATCGTTTCGGCTAAGACTCAGGGGAAAAGTTGGTGATGACGTAAGTCAATCCATTGGCTTGAAAATATGTTGACTATGGATCGAAAATATGTTGACTATGGATCTAGATGTAAAATTTCACGTAACCATGTCACGTCGAGAATCATAACTATACAAAAGTAGATTAACGATAATAAAAGAGAAGAGAAAAAAAAATTATAAAATAAATAGTGACGAAATCATAACTGTTGATTTACCTTTGTATGATTGTAATTTTTTCACATGACTATATCATATTAATTTTTTATTAACATCCATTTCTTCGACCCTTCTTTTCCTGTGTAGTGTTGTTACCGATATGAGACAAAATAGCAACTCAACTCCTCTTATTATTATTTTTGTATTTAACTCAACTCTTATTTAGTATTAAATGTACTACGCTTGATCCTCGAAATCCTGATCCTATTATTAAACACGGTACGATCCTAATTATCGGATACATCGTACCCACTACATTTAGTAACGGCTATATAACATACGAATTTTATTAATTTCATATTAAAGGAGATAAGTTATCTTATGTCATAAAGATAAATTTGTGGGCTCCACCACTTGAAAAATAAAAAGAAAAGAAAAAAAATGTGGCATAATTATCGAAGAGTGTGTAGGAGAAAAAATTATCACATATAAAATAAGAGTAATTTTTCCCATAAGAAACATCACATCTACATAAAAATAAAAAAGGATTCAACTTTGAAAATGGATCGTCTCATATTTTATTCTCTTGTTATTATTGATTTATTTTTATATGAGTATCATTCTTCTACATAATTATATCATGTTAAAATTAAATAAAACATCAAAGGATCTACTCTCATTTCATATACTAGATACTTGTTTTTTATGCCAGTTTTTTGTTACCAGGATTTTTGAAGTCTAACGAGATACATGGATCAACAATCAAACTACCTTCTGGTTATATATCTGGTTTCATCTCCTTACGCACCAGAATAAATGTCCTTATCGAATAGTATTCCACCATGTCCTTATCGGATTAAATCCATTTGGAAATGAGAAAAGGACATTATATATAAATTTTGATGTTATATACATTAATGTTAAATCATTAGTAAATGGATCATTGTCAGCAATTTTGGTGTGGACACAATGCATGCTAAATCAATTCAAAATGTGGCTGATATTTCAAGTTAATTGCGACACTTGTTAATCAGGGTTCATTTTATTTAAAATCTATTAAGATAAATAATATTTAAAATCATAAATAATTCTCAATTATTTGTTGCATTTTTTTGAATCCTTGGAAATTTAAAAATGTAAAATGTAAAATTTATTATTTTTTTTCTTTTCGTCCAAGATTTTAAAATGATATCAGTACCTGAATAAACATCGGACAGCAAATAAAATTACATCGCGTGTAAAATTTAATTTTTAAGTGGACTCATTTTATCAACTTCGATTAAATAAATATAAATTGATATGTAATTTAGAAAGTAAAGTGAATTCGTAATTTTTTTTTTGAAAGGACAGTTGCTTCAATCAGCCAAAAATATTGCAAAATCTATAATTTTGTATCACTTGCAAGTTTGGTACAAAAGCCAGTTTAAGCAAAAGTGCTTGACTTTAATAAATGACTTACAGGTGAAACAGGCTGCCAACTTTCCACTTTCAAACAGGGAATAGTGGGGTGCTGTGGACTTGTGAAAAATTGAAAAGAGCATATAGGGTATCAAATATTAAATGATGGTACTTGAGTTGGTATCAATAAACTGAACATGTGGAATGAAAATAGAAATATATGTTCTATTTTTTTAAGTACTATTTTTTATTAAAGTTTTAATTCAGGACTCTCCTCAATCAAACTAGTTAGAAATAAATAATGAATCTATTAGAGTATTTTAAAAAATATATATAAAAAAAAGAGAGAGCAGAGGGGACTATAGTAATTTCAGGACAACCTCTGAAGCAACAAATGGGGTTCTGTCCGTCTGACCCTGTCACTGTCACTCATCGGCGCATCCAAAAAAAAGATTATCGATCTTAATGAAATTCCTGTTATGCCCTCGACCACTTTTCCCTTGTTTCGTCTCGTAATAGAAACACTGGTTATGGTTGGAGTTGGTATCCAAAGAGGAAGAAATATCTTTGGATCCTTTTTCCCCGTTACAATCTCTTTCAACTCTCATTTTCGTTCTGTATCCTGAAGCTGAAGCCTCATTTTTTATAATAGAAAAAGTTTGACTTTTTTTTCTTTTTTCTTTTTTCACTGAACCGATTTTGGGACTGTGATTGATTATTTTTAACACCCTTTGTGATTTGCCATCTTATCTTCAGTGAGAACCCAGTTGCTAGATTGTTACTTGTTAGTCTTAACTACTTTGGTTGGTGTTTTTTTTTTTCTTTTTTCTTTGTGATAAACAATGAACTCTTCAGCAAGGTTGGATTCAGCTGTGTTTCAGCTCACACCCACTCGAACCAGGTAACAGTCTATACCCATTCATCAATGGATTCATTGAATATTTTGTTGGGTTTCTTCCACTTTTGTCTTTTCTCACCCCATTAGAAAAACCATGAACTTACTAAATTAAGGAATATGTTAAGAGCTATACAATGTGAAGTTTTCTTCAGTTAATACCTGGGATGTTTAATAGTCCTGCAGTAGATGAATTCATTTAAGGGTGTTACTAAATTTAGATCATTTCTTTAATAGGCAAGTGGTTCTGTTCAGTTTTACTCTAAAGTCTGCTTATTTAATTGGAGCCTACATGAACATGGATGTTATCTGCCAGTTTAATCATAAATCTTGTGGCTGATTTCAGGGCGTTAAACAGATTAAATTTGGTTAGGGAATTCTATGTGTGATCAAATTCGAAGTTTTATGGATATCAAAGTGCTGTAAAACTCAAGTTTAAGAAAGGGGGACTAACTCTGGGAAACTTTATTTTGTTTTTAATTGTGATTTTTATGTCACTAACTTATCTATGTGAAAGCTCATTCAAAGCAATTACATACTGTTTGTAGCCTGACTTGTGGTTTTGACCCTTCACCCTCCCTGCTGTTCTGTTAATCAGGTTTGACTTGGTTATAACTGTGAATGGAAAGAAGGAGAAAATTGCCTCAGGCTTGCTCAGTCCATTCCTTTCCCACTTGAAGGCTGCTCAGGATCAGATGGCCAAGGGCGGTTATTCAATTTTTCTTGAGCCTGAGGGTGGAAGGGATGCTACATGGTTTACTAGGGGAACTGTTGAAAGGTTTGACTTCTTTTTTTTCTTTATTATTGTGTTCAGCAAAACTTGGAAATTGAATTTACTTAAATATGCTTCTTAGACATTATCATTGGTATTATTGCATCCAGTGCTCAGCATGGATCTAGAATGCCTTTTTGAAAATTTCTCTTCTTGTTGCTGTATTCTTTAGACCAAAATTCCTGTTATATCTCTTTTGTTTTACTCTTTCCGAAGCAAAGGGAAATGGCAGTAAAACCGTGCTTTGAAATTAAAAATAAATAAATGACTTGTAAGGCTAGAGACTTAAAGTTTTCCCTCTTACAAATGTTTCTAGGTCACATTTCATTTTCAAATAAAAAAAAAAATAGCTTTCTGAACTAATTTTCTCTGCTTCTATAGGTTTGTTCGCTTTGTGAACACTCCTGAGATATTGGAACGTGTGTATACTATAGAATCTGAAATATTACAAATTGAAGAGGCAATTGCAATTCAAGGAAATAATTCTTTAGGGATTAGCACTGTAAGTAAATATCTGGTATTATTGTATGATTCATTGACAGCACTTAACAGTCTGTTTCAATAATCGTGTATTTCTGCAGGTGGAAGAAAACCAAGTAAAACATGTGGAAAACACTGAAGGTATTTTTGAAAGAACAAGTATTTCTATTGCAAGTTCTCATTGTGTACAAGTACTACTAACTTGTATTGAACAAAATATGGGCGTATTTAAAGTTCGGCTTATATTTATAATTGTTCATAACTAAAAAGCTTGCTGCTTTGCACAGGTAGGAAGGCTCAGCAGGATACTAATGAGGAGAAAGCAATTGTCCTTTACAAGGTTTGTAGGTCTTTGACAATTAATACCCTATTCTTTCGGTGATTTTATTATTTCCTAATCAGTCTATGTGGTTATGTGCCAGCCTGATGCACAGCCACCTGAAGCAAATGGAAGCATCGCATCAGAAGGAAACTCAAAGTAAACTCCATATGTCCTTCAATTCCCCCCCCCCCCCCCCCCCCTTTCTATGACCATCTCTCACAGAGTAGAAAATTTTAACTTTTAATTAAGGGTTGTATATGATTAAATAATAAAATTCGTCAAGTATCAGTTCCAGACCTAACATACTTGAAGCTTTATCAGTTAATTTTCTTGCTGGAATATGCTAGTGACAAGGAGGGGAACCTTGGCTTGGCACAACGGTTGATGTTTTTGCCATGTGACCCGGAGGTCACAGGTTCGGTTGGTGTAATCAGCCTATTGCAAATGCAAGATAAGACTGCATTCTATAGACCCTTTCCTGAACCCTGTACAGCAGGAACTTTATAGCACCGGGTTGCCCTTTTAATATGCTAGTGACAAATAAAGGAAAGATGTTACCAACATGGACGACTTCTATTGTAGTTACTTTAAAAAATAAAAATTCTGATAAACTTACTTTTAGTTTGGACATCTTTTATTCCATTACAGAGAATACAGAAATTCTGTTTGGAGTAAGCCAGAAAAGGAATTTTATGGTGAATCTTGTATAAGCTTGCCCATAACATAATATTTACCACTTGAAGATAATTGTTTGTCCACTACTTCATTAAAAGCAGCATGTTGGAGGGCTATGTATTTTTTCTATTTAGGATTATTGAACAGGTATGAAAGTGGAGATGTTTTTAATGCATCTATGATAGCTTAGACTTTTGGGAAACTGTTTCTACATTGTTATAAACTTTTAATTAAAGCTCAGTTGGATTGACCTTTTTGTTTCCTCCAATTCTACATAAATATGATAAATAAGCTGCTATTTTCTTAATTTGTTCTGTAGTCGTTGAGCTTCTTTGCACTATCTGGAATAGGTTGTTAGCATCTGTTTTATATTCACTTCTATTACATATTGTGATAGGGTTCATCTTCTGAAAGTCCTAGAAACACGTAAGTCAGTGCTGCAGAAGGAGCAGGGCATGGCATTTGCACGAGCTGTTGCTGCTGGTTTTGACATTGACTATATACCAGTTTTGATGTCATTTGCTGAATGCTTTGGAGCATCTCGCCTGATGTAAGAGAACTTGTTTTTCTTAAACCATTATGACCTTAAACATCAGTTGATGAAATATTGGGTTCTTCATCCATTGACCGGTAAAATACATGACTTGTGGACAATCTTGCTAATGCTATTTTTTGTCACATGTCAGGGATGCATGCACAAACTTTAGGGATCTTTGGAAAAGAAAACATGAAACTGGACAATGGCTTGAAATTGCTGCTGATGAAGTGATGTCCAATCGCTCAGACTTCTCTGCTTTACATGCATCTGGCGTTATACTTCCCAATATGGCCTCTGGATCCCATACTGAATTGGACTCGGAGAATAATGTGAAAGCAAGTTCAGGTACCTGATGTTTCCAGCACACTGAGCTTGTGATTCATGTACTGTTCATGACTTAAACATATACATTTATATTAACTCATTACTCTTTCTTATATGCACAAGCACAGGCATACACATATTTGGACCAAACCTGATTTTCGCAATTTCTTTTTCCTTCTTTTTGGAATATAATGAGCTGCTACTTCAAAGAATCTAGAGGCCTGTTGGCTCACATTGTTCTGAATGGCTCATGTTGATAAGCCTTCTACCTGTGTTTGTTTTCCGCTTTCTTTTTTATCTTGGTTACTGATGTAGAACAGCAAGGGTAATTTGGAACTCATGGGGTAAGGTTTCATAGGGGTGATCACAGGTTGGATTTGGTTGTTTTTGGGGAAAAATAAAAATCAAACTGATCGAGTTTAGTTGGGTTGGGTTGGGTCGTGCTGAGACAATTTTATTATCAACCCAAACCAGCTCAACCCAATTATACTGGGGTTGGTTCGTTCAGGTCAAGTAGTCAGGTTCACATTTTTAAAATATTTTAAAAAAATAGAAAATTAAAGTGATTGGGTTGGTCCAGATTTAATTGGGTTGAGAAAAAGCAAAATCTGATGCCTGAAGCCCTAAACCAATTGAGGTTGGGTTGGCATGAGATGAACTAAAATCAACTCGACTAACCAACCAAACCTGTATTTTATGTATTGTTTCTGGTGACTGGTAGGATTGATTGGATCATCAGGTCAAATTAGACCATGATCACCCCTATATTTCAAGGGATCAATTTACAGGACCTACAAAGTTGGTATTTAGGGTTTGTCAATTTGATGGGTGCTGCAGTTAATATAAAGAAGAATCGACTGGGGTTTTGTTGAAATAAAATTTTAATGCTGCCTGCCAAGAAAAGTAGATCTGGGCACGTCATAAAAATTAGAGAAGATGGGGGAGTAATTGAGAAGAAGAAAACTAAACTAGGATTAACACCACCAAGAACAAAGCAACTTGCTGCAGTAATTATAAAATTGATCACTCATTATTTTTTATAGTTGAGTACATCATTTAAATAGGACTAGTCAAAACTTGTGAACCTAGTAATTCACAACTTTTAGACTGAAGTTAAATAAATAACAAGCCATTAATAAACATATATAAAAGCTCAGATAATTTAAGCAAACTAAGGGAAAGCGCATAAGACACATGTACATGCATGTAACAAAAATACCTGACTGCAAGGCCGTAACAGTGAATTACTGAAATACCAGTGGCATTGAAAAAAATTTTCTTGTGGGACAATAGAAAATATAATATTTTTGGTGACAGTGGAAAGTATAATATGAACTAAAGTGATAGCATACTAATCCTAACAAACATAATATTAGCCCTGAATAATGAGATACTTTGATCCCTAAGCTTATGCCTTCTTGATGTTGATGCTACTGCTACCTGTGCCAGTTACCTGTTTGGGAACCCTAGAAAATGCTAGAATAAGTGTATCTCTGAAAGTAGTGAGATGGACATAATATGAACTTGCAAAACTGAAATTTTGTATTTTTCCTGTATTTTATGTTAGCGAGCACGATACTCAATTTCTTCCAAAGATAAGGAAATGTGGTTATCCTGCAAAATTGTTTTTGTTTTGGTAGCTTCTTTTTCTTTGCAATGTTGAAACAAAATCAATAAAAGTTTATGCATGATACTTTTCTAGAAAGGAATTGTCATTTTAGAATAATGGTATATACATTTTGGTTTCATAAGCAATGCAAATTGTTGCCTTGATGAAAATGGACTGCAACACATCTAATAGGTTTTGAAATTATCAGACAATTCTACTTTTTCAAATTGTTAAGTCATGGTATCTGACTTATAACTTTCTTTTCCTGTGTGAAGATGAAGATTTGATTCCTCAACTGAGAGTTTTAAATAATGAATTACAGTCCATGTCTGCATTTTTTTCTTAATTAGAAATATGTCTTGAGATTCTTGGTTACACATTTCCAGATCTGCCTCCAATGGACCGCCAATCATCTGTTGGCCACCAAGACAATAATATTCAAGGTCAATTTCCACATTATATGTTCCCTCCTTGGCCTGTTCATTCTCCCCCAGGTGCTGTGCCAGTCTTTCCACCATATCCAGTGCAGGGTATACCCTACTATCAAACATATCCAGGAAACAGTCCATTTATGCAGCCAACTTATCCACCTATGGAGGATCCCAGTCTAATTGCTAGTCAAAATATGGGGCACAGAAGGCATTCCATGGATAGTAGGCACAACAATACTGAGTCAGAAACATGGGATGTAGAAGCTTCAAAATCAAGGTTGCAGGATGGAGTCGATATGGAGAGGGAAGGTTCACAGACTGGAGATCGGAGGAAGAAAGCTAGCCGATTAGGTAGACAGAAATCTGGCACGGTGGTCATTCGGAACATCAATTACATAACAAAGACAGAAAACTCTTCTGGAAGTGGATCATATTCTGATTCTGCCTCAGAAACTGATGAAGATAAAGATAATCAAGAATCTGTGAAGACCTCAAAAAGAAGGGGCTTCGGAAAAGAATCTTCGAAGAAGTTGAATTCATCTGATAAGGAAGAAACAGATCATGGGAAGGATGCAGATGGAGGACACTGGCAAGCATTCCAAAATTGTTTACTGAGAGATGCTGATGAAGATAGACATGACATTGACCAAGGCCAATTTGATCAGGTAAAGGTAGGTGACATGAGAAGAAAAAAACACATTGCAGTCAATGATCCTTTAGTTTTTAGTGAGAGGGATATGCATGAAGTTCAAGGGAATTGCACTATTGATATGCATAGCATTAGCAACGGGTTGACCCACATGCCTAAGGCATCCAATGATGCTTTATTGTTATCTGGAAGGGCAGGGCAGTCTGGTGATGGAAGGTCTGCAGATGATGTACAATCTATAGAGGTAAACGGAAGAAGGGGTGGTTATAGGAGGGCTGCCAGTGATGATTTCATCATTCCTAAACAAGAAAGTCAGTTTGGTAATTCATATCCTTCCTCATATATGGAAACTGCCAGTGGACCTGGTTATTCAAACAATAATGTGGATAGGAAGTTGTCTCATGATATGAATGATGATTCCTACATATTAGAGTATAGATCAATCCAAGTCAATGAGGCAGGAAATGTTGAAAGAAATGCTATTGACATGGACTCTGAATTCCCAATGTTGCATCAAAAGGAAGAAAAATCTTCTTATGAGACAAACCGTATCAATTATCTGCCAGATGACTTGAGCATGATGCCTGAACGAGGAGCTGAAAGGGGGTCAATGAGTTATGACCCTGCTTTAGACTATGAAATGCAGGCCCAGGCTGGTGGTGTTTTACAAGATAAGAACAAAAAGGTATTGGCTGACACCAAACCAGGAACTAAGAGGTTAGATAAGGAGCCAAAATCAAAAGTAACTCCAAAGAGTGCTGATAAAACAAAGTCTGTTGGGCCTATAAGGAGAGGGAAGACTTCTAAACTTAGTCCTTTGGATGAAGCACGGGCACGTGCTGAGAAGTTGCGAAATTACAAAGCTGATCTCCAGAAAATGAAGAAAGAGAAGGTACTCACTTCTATTCCCATAGCTCCCATCCCTTCTTAATACAATTAATTAGCTTAAAATGAATGTGAAACATTTAGTCAAGATCAGTGACCTTGTATATTGCAATTTGACGTAGTTTTTAGTGCATGTACATTTATATTAATTGAAGATTCATATCTTGAAGGCCCTTCATCTTTTATTCAACACTTTATTTCCTTTCATTTATAATAACTAGGAAGAGGAAGAGAAAAAACGCCTAGAAGCTTTAAAGATGGAGAGGCAAAAGAGGATTGCTTCCAAGAGTAGCTCAATCACTATGCAGTCGCCAGTGCCCTCACAGCTAACCAAGAAACAATTTCCAACAAAACTTTCTCCAAGCTTTCATAAAGGTTCAAAATTTAGTGATTCAGAACCAGGACCATCCTCACCCCTTCAAAGATTCCCCATCAAAACTGTTTCTGTTGGATCTAATGATTCTTTAAAAGCCTCAAAAACCAGCAGATTGAATACTAAAAGTCACTTGGATGATAGCAAATTAAGCCGGTCAGTTTCTTCTTTGCCTGAATCTAAGCTAGAGAAGGGTGATAGTACAACTGATTCTAAGGCATCAATGGCACGGATTAGAAGATTGTCAGAACCTAAGATGAGTACCATTCGTCAGACTTCCTCAGTTAAACCAAATGGCACCAGGACAATATCCAAGACTAAGGCAGCTGATGGACCCGAGAGCAAAAAGATTTCTGCTATTGTGAGTCATGATAAAAGCAGGACAGCAGCCCTTCCAGAACTAAAAGTGAGAACACCTAAAGCAAGTGAGATTGTACATAACAGGGCATCAGTCAAAGAGAAGACACAGAAGTTGAATGATAACAAGTCTTCTATGAATTCAGATGGTACCATACTGAAGAAAAATGAAATGGGAACTTCATCCAATGATGATGGAGATGACAATCCTGTAGTTGAGAAGACTGTTGTGATGCTTGAGTGTGAGAAACCGTATGCCCCTGCTATTCGCAAGCCAGAAGAAAAGTTTGGGATACCAAAGAAACATTATGATAATGATGAAGTGACAGAGAAAACTGAGACAGCAGCAAATTATGTTGCTATTCGTGCTCCTATTTCACCATTAAGCATGGATATAATAGATAAAGAAACCTCAGAGAGCCAATCACACCTGCAACCCATATCTACCGAGGTATGTATTCATAACTTAAAGTAGCTTTGATAAATAGTTTAACTGCCTTGTTAGTTCGTACTCTTGTAAAGGTAACATGCTTCAAAAACTTTTATGCAAACATGATAGTGTGAGTGAGGACAAATGTTCTCATAAATTACAGTAAATATAAGTATTGCAATCACCTTATCCTGCCATCTATATTCCATCAATGTTATTGTATGAGACTTGAAAACTGTACCAATTACCTAATATATTATGTTTCCTATAATCCATGCTTCACTAAGCATAAGGATGTACCTGCAATTGTTCATGCTTATTGTAAATTGTGGAAATAGTATTATACTGCTAAATTTTGGTCCCACCATATAAGGATGGCCCAGGGCACAAGGTTCCTACCATTATCAGTTCTTGGGAGGGTCAAATGTATGCAACCTTACTCGCGCTAGTTGAGAGGTTGTTTCCACTAGTAGAACCGGTGAGTAGTGGCCACTAGGTCACATATCGTCAATGCGCCAAGCTCATCATTTGGTCCTGCCATATACTTTCTACAAGTTTCTGTTTTTCCACACATTATTATACAATTCAGTTATTATGTGTGGAAGAGAAGTCTTTGTTCAGTTCTATGATAATTAGAAATTTGCTAATATTTGATTTTTGAATTTCCGAAATGATGTTTTATTTTAGACCTTTTACTGTTTGGGCAAGAAATTTTAATTTGATTTTAATATTAAATTATTCATGTTTCTTTACCTAACAACATAAGTTTTAGGGGGAATTTGTTCAAGACACGGTATCTAAACATCTATGACTAAGTGTTTTAGAGTTCGATCCTTGTTGCCCCATTCTTCTAATAGAAAGTTGAAATTCAGCACTAGGTGGACATGTTTGTCCATGCTTCAAGTCCTCAGGAATCTTGCTTGTGGGACATGTTAAGAGATATAATATAAAATCATTCATGTGTCTTCATTAAAAAAGCTTAAGCTTTCGAAAGAGATGGTTCATGACACATGCTCATATTGTTTATCCAAATTCTTCATGGATGGGATAATTTCTTGGTGCATCAGCTAATTTTGCATATAATATCTCTTCCAAAATCAGGTCATAATGGATTATACAGGGAAAGAACCTTCAAAATCATCCAGCGTTTGCATTACGGAGACATATCATGCTCCATATGCTCGAGTTTCTTCTATGGAAGATCCTAGTACAAGAAATAGTGAGTATGGTAAATCAGCCCCCACAAGTTTAGAGACTGCAGCAATTGGTGTGGAGACTGTTAAAGCACACGTGTCTGACACTAGGAACTCAACGCTTGAGAAGATTCCTGAAGCAATTGAGAAGCCTCAGGTAAAGGAATCATCAAAAGGGTTTAGACGACTGCTAAAGTTTGGAAAAAAGAGTCATAGCTCAGCTACTGCTGGTGGCAACATGGAATCACATAATGTCAGCATTGATGGTTCTGAGGCAGATGAGGTTGGAACTAACGATTCCTCTAACGAAGGTAATGTGCTCCTTATGGGCATCAGCATAATAAATTAGTATCCAGCGATTATGTCCCTGGAAAACTTTCTGATATATGGTACACTGCCACATCTAGGACCTCAATTTTAGTAATCATTGAGTTGAATGATGATACAATGATCCACCAAGTACGCAACTTTCACATTTTCTATGAAAAAACTGCTAGGGCTGAGGTCCAATCCATTATTAGGTCAAAGCTGACAAATACTTAAATGAGTTTAGGGACTACACGCACAAAACTCAACACCCACGCATACACTCTTTTTCCTTCTTTGTTAGCCATTTAAAGGTGCTATACATTAAAAAAAGATTTTTTGTGAGCTTTTGTGAACAGAACTAAGCTATGGTTTTGAACATTCAAGATTATGACATACAGTGTAACATCTCATAAAATTATTCCACTTTTTGAATAATTATACAATTAAAGTATCTTCTTACATATGCACTTACCTAAACTGTGTTGTATTTGGGGTACATCAATATTGTTCCCGTTTCCTGTCATGGAATAATGATCCTGTGTTCACTTCACTTGTATCCCATCACTCAGAAATGAATTTGATTTCTCTATAACTCTTAAGGTATACTTGCCTCTGTAGTGTTGACTCCACTGACCTGCAGCCGTTAATTCAGGAATGACTTTGGTTTCTTAGAACTACAAAGCGTACATTGAGTTTGGATAGTAATTGAAAAGTCAATAACCTAGACTATTCAATCATGTACTAATAACTGATGGCTGATGGCTTGGTAAGTCGTGTATTTTTACTATAGCCTGTGCTTTAGAGCATAGCTAGATCTTAGTGGATTTTTCATATGTACGTGTTTGTTCCTTTTCATTATTGCCTTTGTAGTGTCAAATGTTTGAAGATCAATTAAGTTGTCGACAGATTGTTTTGAAGAACTCCGCCATATTCAATTTCATGCATGACATATATGTACTTAAACTGACCATCATATTTCCCATGTCATCTTCAGTTCATACTTTGAAGAATTTGATCGCTCAAGATGAAACTCCCACAGCCAGCACAACTCAACATAAGTGTAAGCACTCAGTGCATGTTCATTTATCCCTACCCTCTTTGCTAACATTATCATCTACGTTCTTATTCTGAAATATGTACATGGTAAACGTTTTGTTGTGCAGCCTCTCGCTCTTTCTCCTTGTTATCACCATTTCGAGGCAAGAATAGTGAAAAGAAGATTATGATGGCTTAGTGGATGCTGTTATTGGTAAGGTTGATGCAGTGACAAGCTTGAAGACTCTTCACTTTGATTCTTTTCATTTTTTTCCCCTCTAGTGTCCATGAGTTATTGTCTAGCTGGATAAGATATCTGGGTAATGCATTGCTATGAAATTGGTCTTTGTATATTCATGTTTTGTGGTTCATTTGCCAAAGTAATTTGTATATTTTACTCTCTTCTGATTTATATCTCTGGATTAAGGAGGATCTCTACAGCATTCACTTTTGGAACTGGGATGATGATTGAATTATTATATCCGATGAGACTTGAGCAACTTGTTTTGGATCTAACATTTTTTGTAAAACATAATTCCACTTTTTTTTTAACCACTCACAAGATTTTATTTTATTTTATTTATTTTTTAAGTCGCCATTTTTCGGATATGGCTGTTATTCACATTGATATGTAGGGATGACAACATGTGAGGCCAGACCAAGTTTTAGTGTTTTACCGAAACGGGTCTGTCTTGTATAATTTCAAACTTAAGGGTAGGTACTTGGCTTATTTATCTAATGTAGACAATTTTTTTAAGGCTTGATTTGGCCTTGGCTTGAAAGCCTATTTAAAAAAAGTTTACTTTGTAATAAAGTTAATGAATAAATTAATTTCTAAATAGACTAATGAGTTTGAATCTTTATGTAGGCAAATAAATATATAATTCCAAGACATTGTAATAAAATTTAGTAAAATAATCATAATAACAACAATGAATTTATATTATTTATATTTGCTTTAGTAGGTTGATCCATCAAACTTAAATGACTTTTTAAAAGGCTTGAAATCTCACTTATTTACTAAATAGGTCAAGTCAGGTTAAAAGCCCTCAAAAGACTGCCTTATTTCTATCCTATGTCTTAGATTGCTTTAATTTTGTAAAGAAAGAATTTTTTACAAATTTTCAAAACAACGACAACACACAAACCATACAAGGATTGTTGATGGGGAAGAAAAAAACGAGAGAGAGAAAAAGAAAGAAAAGTGAAATTTGTGAAGGTGGCATAAAAATTAATATTGGTCCAAATCTCCATGGGCATGTCAAGCCTTTTATGTGGAGAAAAGGTCAGAAAAAATTCGAGGCAAGAAAAGATTAGTCATTGACTATAGGTCTCTAAATCATTTTTTGCAGGATGATAAGTTTCCTATTCCAAAGGTTGACACACTTCCTATTCTTTACTTTCCATTATTTAAAAAAATAAATAAATAAATTGTATTTGTCAAATCATAATTTAATTAAATATAATTACTTCAATAAACCAAAGTAAACGGAGGGAGAAAGGTTTTAATCTTGCATCTATTCCAAAATATCCATTATAACTAATTTCTGTTCTAAAATTGTTGCAAGTAAATTGAGATGTGTAATGATGAAGCTGGACCATGAAAAATAGGATGACGATGATCTATAGCAGTATAATAAAGGGTGAAAGCTGTAAGGAGCTTTGGTAATGTAGTGCATTCTATAATAAGGGTAAATCTTTATGGCCATTAGGATTGCATATGGTGAGGCTTCAGTCAAATCGAATGATTAAGCATGAGATGCTGCTTTTGCTCATCCTCATTAAAGCTTCCTTTGCCAAGCATTCAGCTGCTTCTTGTGGATCCTCTATGTGACTGATCAGATTCACAGCCTCTTGGCTCTTCATTACCTACACATATGTGGAGATTCACTTGCTATTAGTTTTTTTTTTTTTTTTTTCTTCTTTCAAGAAAGACTTTAGTAATTAAGTACTGAGGACTCTTTTTATGTTTAAAATCTCACATTAGTAAGCAATATGATATTTCCTTTGATGATTGATTTAATTGAAGGAATATGGGCGTCGTATCTATATGTTTTGAGAGGGTTGAGGCAACAAAAAACTAAATTGGATTATGAAATTGTGGTTTACATTGCAGCTTACCTCCCATATGCCATTGCTTGCTAATATCAAAAATTCAGTATCAGAATCAATACTTTCATCTCTGATGACAAGTTCTGAGCCTCTAGAACGCCTTGTACCAGCTACATTTCCTGATCCACAAGCTAGTATGTGTACTTTGTCAAGACATAAATGTATATAGCACACATTATGAGATGTATGAATAAAAAAGATGTGCTATTGATGAACAAAAGAAGCAAGCTGCCACAACATATATTGTGGTTTCTTTCTCTATCATTTTGTTGTATTAAACAACTGGCTCTTTCATACAAGAAAGAGATTAAAGATTTATATATATACCTGCAAAGAGTCTGCTAGACCAATGTCTTTTGGCTGATTGTTGGTATGTGCTAGTTGTCTGATGAGCTATACCATCTCTGCACACAACAGTTCTGTAATCTCCCATGTTAGCTATTACAAGTTTTTCCCCATTGATCACCATAACAGATGCTGAACCCATTTTGCATGTCTCCTCTGACTTGTGTTCCTCTCTGATCTTTGCCCTTACACCAAGGTAAGCTCTCTTCAGCATTTCTTTGCTTTTTCTCCTTATATGAGACTAACATATGATTAAAACATCAGAAAAGAGGGAATTTATGAATAATGCAACTCAATCTTGACCTCTCTTTGACAAGTGATGTCAAGATTATGTTGAGAATAATAGAAGAAATAAAACATGGATTGGTGGAATATATTCAACTTGTATTACATGTTTTTTTAAACCATTCCGAAATGGAGACTAAGAAGTAATAAATAATAATTCTTTTTTAAAGAATCTTTCAAGACAAATTAACCAATATTTGGATGAAGCAGGGTTTGACAAAAGCATTTTTAATACAGCCTAATGTACTAACTCATATATCAGCATCAACATCAACATCAACAACACCTTTATTCCAAATCAGTTATAATTTACTAACTAATTAAAAGTTTTTTTTTTTTTTTTTTTTCTCAAAATGCTCCATTTTTGTTCAACAAAATAGAGAGTATATGGGAGAAAAATGAACTACTGATCAATAACCTCTTGAAGCTTCTTGTCAAAGAAATGGGACTGCATGTACTTGGTAACCCCGTCTCCAATGAATGCATCAAAGATTCCAAAATACCACAATTCTGTGTGATCCATTTGCTCTCTCTGTACCACAACTGAATCAAAGTCTGAGTCATCAGAACCATCTCTGATCATATGATGCTCCATAACATGATAACCATGACTTATTGGCATCATCCATGAAGGCTTCTTTGCCGGCGGCATGTTCTTTCTCTTTCTTCTTCCATGTCCTAGCAAAAACCGTTTCAGCCGGAGTACCTGCTCAACTCAGTGGAAAGATTAGCTCTTGCTCTAAATGACCAATTCTTGCTATGATTCAGCATTTTGAAACATCAAGAGAAAAATAAAAATAAAAAATTCAAGACCATTTTTTTGTTTATTTCCTTTGCATTTGGTCTATTATGCAGAACTATAACAGAACTCAAATATCCATTAATCTGTTTCTCATGAATTCCATAGAATCTCAATGTAACAGGGAAATGGGGAAAGAACATTGGCGGCTTACCTTGAGCTTGAGATGAAGATATCTGAATCCCATGTTTTTCCCTATTGCTTTGATCAGACTTTCTGAGAAAACCTTACATTTACATGAGATGGTGATAAGAAAAGTTAGTAAATCACGTTTTACAGATAGAAAATAAAAGGGACCTTAATTCTTTTGGTGTATATATATTATATATATTAAGTAGAGGTGTTGAGTAACAAATGGGATTGGACCATTTTTAAAAAAAATTGCTTTTAATGGGTTGAAAATTTGTGCACAGCAGGCAAAGGCCACTAAGGTGTTGAGTGGAGAATGCTCAATTGAAAAAATTAAATAGCTTTAATTGCCAATTAGGAGGAAATTTTGAACAAGAAGTAACGGTCAAGCTCTATTTTTTGAACTAAAAAAAAAACTGGAATTGTGAACATACCAAATAATCCTAGTTCCTACCAGTAACTGACAACTCAGAATTTAGAGGTTTTTTCTTTTCCCTTGTATGGAATATTCTTAAGTTGGTAAGTGTAGTATCCACCATCAGTTATCAACTATCAAGAGAAGACTTGGTTGACTTGTTTCTTATTTTATATATTTCTGTTTTGGTTAGTATATATTATAGGATTTATAATTATGATTTACATTGAACTTCTAACTGTTACAAACAAAACGGAAAGGTTGACTATGTATTAAAATATCTTTTTTAAGGGTCACAGTTGGTTAAGGGTTTGATCCATATGCTACAAGGGCGTGATTTCAAACCTCATTAGCCGATGTGAGAACTTTATTAACGAGTGATATGTAATTTTTTTCAAAAATTCTCAAAGAGATCGGAGGATTTTCCTTGATCCTGGTGAGATACCATTATGTAATCTCACTAAATTTTTTTGTATTTTTTTATTTTTTTGGTAAAATTAAAATATCTTTTCAATCTGCAACAAGGTAAATTCCCTTTTTATTCTGAGCAAAGCTAGAAAAGCTAAGGGGATCTCACAAAGAGCAATAATTTGAAAGGAAAAAATAACAAAATATTTGAGATCGGCAAAGGACGGAAAAAAATTCCATGGAGAAACGACACATGGCTCATCAAGATTATTGGCCTTTGGTTACTTCATCAAGGTGCTTCTAAATCTTGAATGTGAATTGGTTTACATTATTTAAACTTTAATATTAGTTCGGTTTTATTATAATTATTTATTTTTTTGAGTTGGTTGCGTAGTTTGGATGTGCCCTTCAGAAAAATGGGGAACTTTGTGTAAGCGTAAATCAATGTAATTTAATGTGCCCTTAAATTATTTATTTTTTTATTCATACTCCAACTTTACATCTTATCCAAGCTTTAATGTACCTGGAAAAAAAGTACTAATTGCCTTTGGTTTTACTTTTATCACTTCAAATAAAAATATTTCAGACTTTCGACTCCAAAGCTGATTTTTTTTTCTGAAATTTCTATATTACAAAGCATTCTCTTCATAAAATTGTAGAAAACAACCGACCTGTTTTTTGTTTGTAGTTAAATTACTGTTGACCTAAGTCAACTTAGGCTTACGAATGAAGTATAAAGTTTATGTGTCACCTAGTGACCTACTCCCCTCTGTTCTCGTGATATTTTAACATTAATGTAACGTATTTATAAAACTTGCCTTCAACTCGTCTCCTAATTGTTCAATCGGACATCGAATAGAACTGGTATGGTATCAATCTAATTGACTTGGCTAGTTTATTAGTGTGTGTTTTGATGGGTTATTACATCTTGAAAAGCTACTTTTTTATTAAAAAAAAGTGCTTTTGAATTGTTTGGACGTGGGTTTCTAAAAAAAGCAAAAGCTAATAAAAAAGTTAAAATTTGACGCTAAAAATTTTAGCTTTTGGAAAATGGAGAAGCAAGAGCCAAAATTTGAAACCTCGATTATCCCTTCTTCTCTTTCGTTACCATAAACGCAATTGTTGATAGAAAGGAAAGATGAATAATGAAATCACTCCCTTGACGAAACCAGAGTACCCTGTGATTGATCGTAACCCTGCATTCACCAAAGTGGTCGCTAACTTCAACACCCTCGATTATCTTCAATTAGTGACCATCTCTGGCGTTTATTGAGTTTTTTAAAATTGGGAATTTTGTATTGTTAAGGATTAAGCCTGGAATCAAGGGACCTACTATGGTGATTGGGGGTTTGATTCGAGTCATGGGTGGTTTCATGTATGCTTACCAGAACTCCGCTAGTAGATTCATGGGTTTCTTCCCTAACAACAGTGAGGTAGCTCGCTTGAACAAGAAATGATCATTTTCCCAATCAAGTTTTCATCTTTGGGGGAAAAAAAAAACTCTTTTCAAAGAAGCTGAATTATCTCTTCAACTTTACTTTCTTTTGGATTTTCTCCAGACAAAAATGAAAAAAAAACAAAAAAAATCATCTCTCATACACAGGAAAAGAAGATCAGCACAAGGGTAGAACATGCATTTTATATTTAAAAAGTGTTTTTTTATTTTAACATTCAAATAATATTTTTACTTTACGTTTGGTACAGGAGAAAAAAAATTTAACCAGATAAATACAATTACTGAGAAAATGGTGCGAAAGTAAATTTATTTGTAAAGTTGAAAAAAAATTGTTTGATAGGGTGAAATATTACCGAAAAAATTAATTAAATTTTCAAAGTAAATTTGTTCTTTACTGGGTAAATAGAAATTACCACCTACAATATGGTCATCTAGCAGTGTCTTGCTTGCAATTTTTCACATAAATTATGTTGCCTAGGCAACCAATTTTCTTAGCTATTTTTTTTTCAATCTTTTACCAAACATTGTCATCTTCAAATCACTATCTAATTTGCCTAGCTATTTAGGACAAAGTCTCCTACCAAAGAGCTCCTAAAAGCACTTTTTAAATATTACATCCAAACACAAGATAATTTGGACTTTTACAAAAGGCTTTAATATTTCTACGGTGAATGTAGATAAGTTATCTATATTCACTTCCGAAACGACGTCGTTTCAGGTTGAAAAATTAAAAAATTATAATAAAAAAGGAGAAGGTTATATTTACAACCTATTTTCGTTTACAACTTCTTACAACCATATCTTAACCATTGATTTCCGTTAATCAACGGTTAAGATTTTCGCAAATCAAATTTATTAATTAATAATTAATTCACAATAAATGACAACCGTTAATTGACAAAAATCAACGGTTAAGATATGGTTGTAAGAGTTTGTAAGCTATTTAGTTGTAAATATAACTCCTCCCATAAAAAAAACTATTATAACCCTGGAACAAATTACAATTACAAAAATACTTTGATTTCCGCTTCAAAACGATATCATTTTGAACCCAATGTAAATAAATTATCTATATTGACTATAGAAAAAACGAATCTTTTAAAAAATATCTTATAAGAAAAGCAACTCTTTAAAAATTCTTTTTTTCAAATGCTTATACAAACGGGTCCTTAACCGATGACTCAGTCCATTGCCCAAAACATGTTTGTACTCGTTAGGTGATTGTGTTTTCATAAAAAAACACTTCACCTGTGTACTTTGTTTTGTGTTTCGATATTTTATGTTATATGCGTTTGTTTGTACTTTGTGTATATAAAAAAAATAGATTTAAAACATTTCTATTAAAAAAAATAAGCGATGGATATATGACAAGAATGCAATGTCTTCATTTGGGTGGTGTCTACACCATCACCTTAGCGCTGAGAATCGAACATTTTCATGAGTATTACTTTTTTGGCCATTAATTTTATGAACACTACTAGCTCACTTGATTACAAGCACTCCATGCTCCATACTCTTTACCAAAGTTGTGTCTTTCCAGGGCCACATAATCATAAGCATATCTCGCATCCATCACATCCAACAAATGTTAAACTTTGTACGCTAAGCTTGAGAAATAAACAATTAAGATGTGCAGGAAATAATGGAAACCGCATGCTTAATTAACATATGCACAACTTAAGGCTACAGGCCTATAAGCATCCATGTAGTTCGTTTCTAATTACAAGTTCGACAAAATAATATAGTTGGCTAAACTTACAACAAACGATAAAGCCTATCCGCAAACTACATATTCAGTTCCAGGCACATACATTCTGAATCGTATGTTCGTACTACTATTGGATGGATCAAGAAATTCAATTTCATAGAAAATCACACACTGCCAACAGGCTAAATTAACCGCAGAGCACATCTTCATGGTGCATAGCAAAGCATGATTACCCGTTATACCAAGGCTAAGCAAATGAAGTCATCAATTGAAAAAGTATATTATAACTCAAAACAGAACGAATCCAAATCAACGAATCCAATCAGAGGGCAAACCTAACAAAAATAAAACTACGAAAAATATAAAAGATGTTGCCGCTCTCACTTGCAGCTTGAGAGTTATAGTAGTTTATCTTAAATACCAATAACCAAACATCTGCAAGAAAAAGCAACAGTGGGGAAACTGAGAGTACTGACATCAACCCCCTAATAACATAAAACTCTTTTGACATGAAACATTTTACTAAGCGTCTCAATGATACTGAAAAACTCAAAACTATCAAGGTGTACTAAATGGAATGAAACTCGTAGCAAAATTTGAACATTTGTATCATAAAGTAATGCCTATTATGCGCTTTTTTTCAGCTTTGCAAGCTCTTGCCTAACAATAGCTGCCCTCTGCACCACAAATTAAAAATCCAAATATTAGCATGAACAAAACCAAAACATACACTGACAAAAAAGAAAAGAAGAAAAGAAAAAGACTTGCTTCATAAACTAATTTAAGCATTCCACCATGTGCAACAAAAAAGGGTACAAAGCACTAACATCAGAAAAGAAAAATGTTATGTTCAAAAAAATATATATATACCTTGATCTTTGTCAACATTAACTTAAACCTATCAAGATCATTGAGAGACGCCCTTCTCTTTTTGACAATGAGTTTTCTTCCCCAGGAGCTGTTCTCCCACTTGTTCTTAACATCTGCTTATTAACAAGAAAAAAAAACTGATTAACTTTTAATAAAACAAATTAAGAACTAATAATAATAATAATAGTTAGAAAATTAAACCTGCAGCCTCCATGGCTTTAACAAGATCTTTCTTTTTGGGGACCCTCTTAATGTCAATCTTGATGTCAGTGAGTGAAAGCCTCTTGAAATTCACTTGGGAGCTCACCATATCAGGGGCATCAACAAGAGCCTGTAAACAAACCCACAAGAGTTTCTAAGAAATCAAGCAAATGGGCATGCATCAATGCAAGGAAAGATGAGAACTTTGGGTTTAGGGTTTACTCTGTTTTGGTCAATGACGTCGACGATGACCACGAGCTTACCATATTCCTTGCCGTAGTTGATCAGAGCCACCCTCCCGATCTCAACGTACCTCTTGAAAGGATGAACAAGGAACACAAAGTTTCATTACAATCGAATATACCACAGAGAAGGAAAACAAGTACATGGAGATAAGAGAGTGAGAAAGACAAAGAAAGAGGAGTCACCATTTTCTGCTATGCAATGCAGAGAGGCACAACGAGAACGTGAATACGTAACAATTAGGGTTTTGTACCCTTCAACTTCTATTAATTTTGTAAAGAATCACGGTTTATATTGGGCTGGGCTTGTAAAAGTAAGGAATCCAAGTTTTCATGGGCCACATCAGGCCTGGGTTTGTAATGGAGCTGAAATAATCATTGTTTTTTTAAATTAAAATAAATCATATCTCATTTTAAGAAATTATTATTTTGTGTATTGAACATGCTTAAAATAAGACAGTTTTCACATTCAGAACTTAAACACAATATTAATGATTAAGATAAAATAAATCATACAATTTATTCATGTGTTTAGTGATTATATTTAACAAATCTAAATTCCTTATATAAGATAACAAAGGTTTTGTAATGTCTTATGTTATTCTTACAAGATTTATGCACATATTTATCACATTAAATGTCTTTTTTTATTTGTACCCAAAAAAAATATTATTATTATTAAACACATGAATCAACTGGAGAGGATTAATCAATAAACCGGAAGAAATCCACAAAAGTAAAAACATTATTTTATCAAAAGTTTCTAAACGATGTTAAGTGAAAATGAATTGTTTCTGAAAATAAAATGGTGGCAAAGTGTGCAATCACTTGAGGGTTGGTGTTGTTGGCAATATTTACCCCTTCCCAAATGGACAATTGCAATGCAAGTATTGAACCTTTCTCACTTCATTGGTAAGGATTCGTCCTGAGACCTAGCTAATCGCGGCTAAGCCAATTGAACAAAAATGAATTGTTTCATTTTCTAAATTGTTGTTTGAAAAAGTAAAAAAGCCAAATGAAAATGAATTGTTTCATGCGGAATTTTTACATTTTCAAACAACAATTTAGACAAAATATAAAATTATTAAATAAGTAGCAAGTTATTATAATTTATAAAACTTCATTTAAGACATTTATATTTATTTATTTTTTACATAATTTTTTCTGATAAAAATTTAACATGACAATATCCATTTTTAAATATTAGTTTACATTACTCACAGTCGAAACTGAAACTCACTTGTAAGAATCCTTCTCTTTTGCTTACATACGCAGACATAGTTCTATGTAAAAAGATTATTTTTTTTCATCTCTAACTTCACGCTAATTATTCTTTCACTGAGGGAGTTTCAATATTTGATAACTGACTCAATTGTTAAAGTAGATTTTGTATTAAGTCCGATGGTGACTCAATGGTATCATGCAATATTTAGTGGATGGTTATTTGTTTAAGGGAGAGTGATGGAGTAAGATATATGATGTAAGATAAGAAATGAAAACCACTCAAGTGGTCTATAACAATTTTCTTTAAAAATATAAATATTTTTTGGATTTGGTGTTTGTTATTTTAAATAACATAAGTTATATCATTTTAGGAGAGAGATAGATACAGAAAAATGGAAATTATGGGAGAGAGAAAGTGAGTGGTTTTTTTAATTTAAAATTCAAATTTTCTGTGTCTGTATCGCTCTTAAAATGACATAATTTTCTATTATTTAAAATGACAAACATTTTTTTCATATTTTTTTTATTTGTAACTAAAACAGCTTTTTGTATTTGAAACTGGGTAAAGTGTATATCATTTTAAAGGAGGTAAAGTTGTGTCATTTTAAAAGAGAGAAAGAGATAGATAAAAGAAGAGAGAGTTGACAAAAAAAATAAAGATGTGGGTCTCACCTCTTTATAAGAGTGAAAGGATATAAATTGTGTCATTTAAAAGGATAAACATTTTTTCCTTCAAAATTCGAGTTGGAATCATTCGTGCACGTTCTGTAATTGATCTGACTGAGCACGAAATCGAGGAATGGAGGAAAAGAGGTTACAATCAATTTTTTATTTAAATGAAGAGAGAGAACAAATATTATAAATTTAATTATTTTTTTATTTAAATTTTAAGATAGTGAAATTAAAATTACAAATTGAAAATTCCACGTCACCTTTGATATCCCCCAATTGCTCTCTCCCAAATCGCCATCACAACCAAAAAAAAACACAAGCAGAAAAAAGAAAAAAGTTAATAAAAATAAAAATAAAAATGAAAAAACATTTGCCTATAAATTTTGTTTTACGCCTGCAATTTTTCTCAGTCTCAGATCACCGTGGTCTTCCTCGTTCAAGCTTTTGTTACATGTATGTATGTCTATCTCAATTGTAATTGATTGTTTCTTCCTGTTCATGGATCAATATTTGTTTTTTGTTTTTTTTTGTTTCCGGAGAAAACTAACATCGAAAGTTTGTGAAATTTTGGAAAATTAGTTGATAGGCATGCTTCTCAACTCAATTCAGTTACTGGGTTTATTCTCGCCGCTAGTGAAAGAGATCTGACATTTTTATTCCATACCTTGGTTCAGTAATTTTTATTTTATTTTTTTTAATTTTAACTAGCTCAAATTCTTGTTCATCTGTGTTCTTTGATCTGATCCCTGAACTTTCCACCTCCATAAGCATTAGGGAAAATAGAGACTACTCACGACAAGTAATTGCCTTCATTTTAAATTTTTGATGTGTTGTTAGTGCAGTTTACTTTAAATTTGCTTCTTTTGCATCCTTTAATGGTTTTTGGATATTTCCCACAGTATTCACCTTAATTGAATCCAGATTTCAATTGAAAGTCTGCTTGCATGCCACCTATGAAAGTTCTGTATTTTCCTTCCCCTGATTTCACATTCTGAAAATTTCAGCTATTAAAAGGAAAAAGGACATATTTGTTTAATTTGATAGTGGTGGCTTAAATATATCAATTTGATCTCTGTTAAACTTCTACTTATGTATTTTTTGGGTTATGACAATGTTATGGGCAGCAAAGTACAAAAATGGAGGGGACTGTTTTCACTCCTGCATTGGAAGGACTGAAGCTTGTAAAGTCTGAACAAGGAGAAATTCTGTCTCAGCCTTTCTTGGATGCGTGCAAGCATATACTGCCTGTTATAGGTACATGCTCTTGGTCCCTTACTTTGTTATTGTCTTAAGACAATGATAAAAGAAAGGCAAACATGTTATTTGGACATTTTTCAATGTGCTCTCTTCGGTTTGTTTGCAGTGTTTTGTTTTGTGAGGGGACCATCCAATGGTCCTTTTGAATAATCTGCAGTAGGTTAAACAATATTATATTTGTTAGATCTCAATGGATTTTTCTCTCTTTGCATTGAATAAGATAAGATGCACGCATGTCATTTTTTCCATAGTGGGCTTCAGTTCTCATGGCTCCTTGCTTCTCTCCATCTCAATAAAAAATAATCCACATTTAAATTGGAAAAAAGGTAGTTTATATTAGATCATCAAAATAATTTGGTATTTTTATTACATGAAGCTCTTAGTATGATTTAGCATTCAGCTTTAAGATATTTTTCTTCATTTTTTCATATCTATTTACTTTTATGAGAGAAGGTTCATATCTCTCTCCTTTTATGAGAGAAGTTACTGAAAATATCTAGTTGGGGGCAACATGTGTTTTACAAACCTAATTGTAATTAGCATGGCCTAAAATCGTAGATAAGACACTTATGACTCAATAGGGATTATATCGGTGGAGCATAACTTTTAATCTAATATTCAAAATCAAGTCCGTGCAACCTCTAACCTGAATAACTGTTATTTGCTACTTAAAAGACCTTTGTATCTTTATTGAGTCTGCTCCTTTACCTCCATCCTCTTTATGTGTGCCTAATGTATTTGCATTATGTGATGTCAGGTTCCTCGGATGAACTTGTAGTGGGTTTTACTGTTTAAGTTTGGTTATTTAATCATAGTATGGAATTGTATATGCATTATTACTGCATTTCCAAATTTGTGACCTTTTTATCCCTTAGCAAAATGTTGAAATTGTCTAGACTGCTTTTGACACATGTGTCTTTGTTATTTAAGTAAAAAAAAAAAATCACTCCCCGTTAAACCCGACTAGCGAGTGTGGGATGGAGTTAATCCTTGTACGCAGCCTTATCCTTGCATAATTGCAAAGAGGTTGTTTTCTGGATTCGAACCCATGACCTTTCAATCATGAAAGAACAACTTTACCACTGCTCTGGTTCGCCCCCTTAAAAATCACTCCTCGTTTAACCCGACTAGCGAGTGTGGAGTGGAGACAATCCTTGTACGCAGCCTTACCCTTGCATAATTGCAAAGAGACTGTTTCCTGGATTCGAACCCATGACCTTTCAGTCTTGAACGAACAATTTTACCACTACTCCAGTTTGCCCCCTTGTGTCTTTTTTATTTAAGTGAATAACTTTTTTTATTTATAAGCAAAAATCTCATTAAGATTAAAAGGGGTAGAAAACAGGAGGATCAGGAGCGCTTCTAAATAAAAAACTTATATATATCTTTTATTCTGTAAAAGTAGTATGTTACAATCTAACTCTACAACTTAAATAACCTTTTTACTGTAGTTCAATGCTTGGTTAAGCCTCAAATGTACAATAATATGAATACTTGTACCATGGTTAGATGATGTAGTGCTTTTCATATGGCAGATAAGTTCGGAGCTGCTATGTCCCTTGTTAAAGCTGACATAGGTGGTAACATATCGGTATGATTTTGTCACCTGTTTTTATCTTATATGCTCATTCTTTTAGTAAATATGTGTCATCATATGCTTGCTTTGCAGCTTTAGATGTAATATGTCTTTTCTTAAGATGACATGCTATGCTCATACTCTTTTACCATACCAAAGAGTAAGTTGGGTGTTGATTCTTTGTTCTAATTCATGTGTAGCTGGCTTGCATAAATATGCTTATGCTTTACTTTTTATACAACTTTTGGTATGGACTATGTACCTGAACATTAATAATATTGGGTTCAAGGCTTCAAATGCTATATGTTCTCATTCTATACCATGTTGACTTTTAAGGCAGAGATTGGAATCTAAGTATTCCTCCAATCCAACCAGATTCAACTACCTGTACAGTTTGGTGCAAGTAGAGGTTGAAACTAAAACTGCCAAGTCATCATCCAGTTGTACCAATGGACTTCTTTGGCTTACAAGGTAAAGAACGCAAAGCAGTTACCATTTAACTTGTAATTCATACTGGTATGGCATTCCCAAATATATTTTAGAGGAAACTTTCTTTAATTAATAATGTTTCAAGCACAGAGTTAATTGTCCATGAGTAAATGAACGACCAAAAGAGTAAAGATTAGGGAAAAAAAGGTATCGAGATATGCATAAAATTCCACAAAACTTTTAGCAAGAAATCTCATAATAAAAGTCATGTTAAGAAACGTGTTTTCCAAATTTTGCGACCAAAATGCAACATCAAACTGGCCATAATGGATAGAGATACTATAAAGTATAGTAATATGTGCATACATGCGTGAATGGTTATTTTGCAAGGATATTTGTCATCCCAAATATGCCATGATATTCTCCAGTAACTCTAGTTGTGGATCAGCAAAAGCCAAGCCTGGCTCATTCTTCTAAACTATCAAAAGCCTGAACTCATTTCTCAAGGTGTTAGGGAGGATTTATATTTTTATTATCTTTCAGCTCAATGATGGATCCTTTCACTAGCTTCAATTATAGAGATTTTTTTTTTCTTTAATTTCTTTTGAGCTTATGAAGCTTCTGCTAGCTGAGCTTACCTTTCTCAAGGTGTTAGGGCAGTAAATGTGTTGTGATAATTCTAGTAGTTTACTATTTTTTATTTTGCGGCAGAAACCTAAGCAAATGGTTATTAGTTGCTTTTATATAATTGGTTCATGTATTTTAATTTATGACACATTCATTTCTCTAACCTTTAAAATCTTCAGAGCAATGGATTTCTTGGTGGCATTGTTCAGAAACTTAATTGAGCATGAAGATTGGTCAATGTCACAAGCCTGTACAGATTCCTATAACAAGACTCTAAAGAAGTGGCATGGCTGGCTTGCTAGTTCAAGCTTCACTGTAATGTTCTTTTGATGCTTTTTTCCCCTTTTCATATAATCTTGAGATTTCTTGGTAGAATCAGAACCTTTTTATTGTAAAATTTTGCTTCATATTGACCTAAGTCTGTCAAATGTCATGTTTTGGACCATGAAATAGCTGTCATAGGAAACGCACTAAGTTTACTATTTGCATCGTTCTGTTGCTTATTTTCTACGATCTTTGCTCTCTATCCTATGAATATTTCGCAGTCTAATGTGGTGGGAAAGGCATTCATCTGTCCAAGTTATTATTTTGCTTATCCAAATTTTAGTAATTTAGAGATGTAGCATATCAAGGTACCAGGTTACTTCCCGATTAAATGATCTGAAAGATATTCTCAGCCTTGGAAAGCAATCAAATTCTGATTAAAATAAACTAAAACCGTATCTTCTAGTTCTATACAGTAAAGTCTATTCAACTTAAATTAATGCAATTATAAGTCTACATTAATGTCTATTCAACTTACATAGTAATGTCTATTCTACTTAGTCTAGTTCCTTCTTTCGCCTGTTTCTATTTACTTATTTTTCAATTGACTTTTATCTATTTTAGGAGGCCTAGTGTAGTTTATGGTATCCAACTTGCTTTAGTGACATATTAAATATTTTACCTACAGGTGGCGATGAAGCTTGCTCCTGATAGGAAGAAATTCATGGAGGTGATACAAGGCACTGGTGATATCAGTGCTGACATAGAGAAGTTTTGTACTACCTTTTCTCCTCTCCTTGAAGAAAATCACAAGTTTCTGGTAAAATTTCTTGGATAATTTTTTAGCTTATTGATGATCATTACTGGCATTGATATAGATGGCCTGAAAAGGGGCATTGAACTGTGTGCACTATCATGTTCTGGGTTAAGCCATATTTTGGAAGCAATATGTATATTATTATTAAATTAAAAAGGAATACGATATATACACACATATATATATATATAGTCTCATTATATAGCATTCCGATAATAATCCCTAAAAGTTCCATGACAAAGACCCATATCAAGGTTTATAAACTTGCTCTTTTGGCACAGGCTCGTTTTGGCTTCGATGATATGAAGGCGTCATGAAGCATGGATTCATGATCAGAAGTCTCCTGATGAGTGGCTGTTGCGTTCTCACTCTCATTTCTTGTTGAGTCTTTAAACTCCATGTTCCCCTAAACAATCATTCACTTTAATCATGTACCTCAAATTACTTGTTTTCTGCTTGGTGGTATAGAATCTTTGGATAAGTACATTTGGTTTGGCTAGAAACAAACTTATTGAACTCTAGTTTCGCATGTGGCGAATTGGTTATATAAAAGTGATTATTCAGTTTTAAAAGGAATATGACTGTTCCTTACAACTATACGGTGATAAAAACAACATGAAATGCGTTTAACTTGTGCCGAATCACATTGTGCTTTGTCTATAGAATTTTTACCCAATGTCCTATGCTGTTATTTATAGAGTTGAGATATTGTCACAAGTCAGAATAATGAATATGTCAATACTTGAAGTTATGTTGTAAGGATTTTTTTTGTGAATTTTGTTCGGCTAGTAAAAGGGCGCTCGTGGTAGGGACCATCCAATCACACCAAATGGGTTTGATATTATGTCGCAATTCAAAATATTAAGGTATTGGGTCTGTTGTCCTTTCACTTATTTCATTTAACTCATTACCAACTAATGTGAGATTTTAGTGTGAAATTTCACATTGAATACTCTCCTTAATATTTCAGATTCAAGTACTCAATTTGCGTCTAGTCAAATATTAAGTTAGTTCGAGAGGTTAACTGAGCTTTATTATCATTGTCAGGCGGGTCAGGGGGAGATTGTGGCAAGAGATTATTACAAATGGGGTTAAGCTAGATTAATCACATCAAGTGTGTTTGATATCATGTTTCAATTCATAATCTTAAGCCATTATTGGGTTCATGGGTATTTTTGGAAATATTCCATCGGTTCATCGCTTCGCGACTAGTCCGATTCGGGGCGGGTCCAGGATTAAGGCTTTAAACCCCTCCCAAAGGTGGTACTGAGGAGGTTCGAACACATGCTCTCACATTCCACCTGCTCAGCTCCCATGCGTCAACTGAGCTACTACCATTTGGTGGTATTTTCACTTATATAGATTTCATTTAATTTACTATCAACCAATTTGAGATTTCATCACACTTGAATATCCAAACAAATTTGTCACAGTAACCCAAAACTATGAGAAAAGTGCATCTGAACTTGGAGCGCATCTTTAGTACGGCGGTAGCACTTAATGGTGGGTATTACTGCCATTCAAAATGGGACACCTGTATTTAATAAGTCTGTCGCTAGCGACTATCTCTACTTTTCTCTCTCCTCTTCGCTGACGTTTTACTGTGTGTGCTTAGGTGTTTAATTTTTATAGGATAGATGTATGGAAAATAGGGTAAGACGGTAGTATATTAGAAATTTCCCTGAACTTGCTGACTTTTGCCTCGTTTGTAAATAGTTACTATGATTCTATGAACCAGAACGCTCTTTCTCGAATCTCTTTGGGTCAAACAGACTGATATTTGATTTGAATTTACTCATGACAAAATTATGCTTTCGTGTAGATTTCTATCATCTCATTTGTAAACACGGTACACTTGCAACCAGTTTTTTCACCTGCGGATTTTGGGGTGTGTTTCTTTTTTTTTTTTATAGTGTTTCCAAAATTGAAATTATAAATTTTAGTATAATAAATTTCAATAATAAAGCAAACAGTTATACGTAATTGTGAAACTTAAATTAACAACGAATTGGTTTTTGGCAAATGAAAGTATGCGTTTTTTTAATTAAAATGGAAGATTATGTTTAATTTCTTTTTTTTTTGATATATCCATCGGTTAATCAATTGGTTGACTAATTCAGTTTGAATACTGTTAGACCCATTATAAAGGTTCTCTCCCAAAACCATTACATAGATTTGTATATGTACAAAATGGGTTGATACTCAAAATATATCATGAGTAAGCATTTGGCATAAGAATATAGGAAAATGTTCTGATCGGTCCTTTTAGGCTCAATAAGTTAGATCCAATATTAATAACTCACATTTAGAACTTTTTAGAGAACATCTTGTGATGAGCCCTCATCATAGGAGATTCCCTTGATCCCTGCACCGCTGCCCACTGTACACTGACAGTCGGCACAACATACCTTGTGGCAGAAGCAAAGGTTGGTGTTGGTGGAGCAACTCTTGTACCCCACTCTTCATTCTCTCTTCCACGTTTGGAGAGTGACATCTCCTATCTAAATACCTCATTTTTATATGTCTGATCATTTATTCTATTCATGAGTTATTACTATGCAAAAATGTAGAGCCACGTAACCATTCACACACTCCTCCCTTTCAGTCATAATGTCAGGGAAACTCAACAAAGCCTTAGTCCATATTAATGCTACTAGGAGTACCACTAGATTGACATATTTCACCTCTCGAGGGATTCATTTTGACTCTACACAAACAACTCCAAACAATTCAGAAAGGATTAACTTATACTCCTACAAGAATAACAAGTTTTACATCTAATTTTAGTGGTTAACTCCACTTAGTACTTACATTTAAAAACTTACATGACTAATAAATTAAAACCATCCAATATAAATGAGATCAGTAAAACTTTATGCAAGGTAAGTTGATCCTTATTATATATATAGTTGAAAACTCCCAATGATTCATTCTCCTGTCTTTGGTAATAATATAAGTTTTTTATTTAGGTTCACCAAACTCACAAATGCCATACAATTATACTTTTCAGACCGTATTTCTCGCACTTTGACTAAAAAAAGGTTTACAACATTTGTCCCAAATATAGCCTATGCACAGGAAAATTACACTCTGGATTCCCATCAAAAAACCTGTTGAGTTGCTGGTTTTGATTTGCCTTGGCCACTGATTGTGGGGGCGGTAGATCAAAACCCAGTGCTTTCAATTCTGCAGTTTTTGACATTTTCTAACCTGAACTCTCCCTCTTCTTGGTTGGTTTGGTTGGATTCTCATTCCAAAACATCCAACCAAGAACTTTTAAACTTGCAATATACTTTTTCTCCCATTTTGTCATGAATTTTTGTTCTTCATTGATATATGCTTGCGGGTTTGTGATTTCAACACTGGCAAGGCCAACAAAGTCATCATATGGTTGATTCAACATTTCTTGTGGAGGTAGCCACATTTAATTTGGTGTTTTTCTCCTATTCTTATCTCTCTCTCTCTCTCTCTCTCTCTCTCTTTTATATGTTTTTACTATAAAAATAAAAATAAAAATGAATCAACGTTTGAAATGAAGGTCATGCAGCATGCTGTGTTTTCGTTATCAATTGAAATTGTCTATATCAAAATCTTAGTTGATAAACAGAATTCAGAGAATGTCACGTAGTCATGAGATGATATGATTGGTTGGTAATGGCACAAGTTATTTTGAGGAGTGCCTCTGTGAAATGTTTATTCATGAGATGATAATAACATTGGTTGGTAATGGGATTGATGCAAAATGATTAAATGGTGACAAATTTTATGATCTTTTTATTATTTTATTATTTTTTACCTTTCAGAAGTTTGTAGCTGGTTCCGTTGAAGATTGAAAGCACCGGTGCCTTTGAAGCGATTCATCTCTCTATATATATATAATGGCGTCGTCAACCACAGTCAAAGGCCAGGTGAAAGGCCTCCTTAAAGGACTTAGATACATATCCCAAATATTTGGTAAGTGTAATCTTCTATCATCGATCTCAAACAAATTAAATATATATATATATATATTTATCTTCTATTGATTGCATGCACCGAACTACTTTATGCATGGCTTTTTTGTTTTTCTTTTTAATTGAAAGTTATCTATACATTTCCAAAATTCTTATAAATTTGAAAATAATAATTTTGCAGACGAGGAGGACGAAGAAAAGGAGATACAAATTGGGTTCCCAACAGACGTTAAGCATTTGGCACATATTGGAAGTGAAAATGCGAATGCAAATGCACCAAGCTGGGTAATTTTTTTCATTTTTCTCATTTAATTTATTGTCTTCACCAAGACCCAATTTGATTTGATTGTATTCTTAATCTGTAATTGGAGAAATTGTGCAGATGACCGAGTTTAAAGAAACATCAGAAACTTCATCAGGAGAAGTAGTAAACTCTACTAATAAGATGCCCAAAGGTTTGATCATATCTTATAATAAAATACCTATCTTACCTCATTTCTAATACCGTTAAATTATAATTTCAATAATATTGAATACTCATCTCTAATACCTATCTTACATACTGTTTTTTTTTTCTTACGACATTCTGATCTAATAATATTGAATATTAATAGAAAAAATAGACATAAAAAAAAAATATGCGTAATATTCTATCCGTTAATTTCATATCAATTATGTTATGTGGATATGTAGTGTGACACAAATGAGGAACTATGGTTTTGGTATTTTGTAGATAATGATGATAATAATAACAATAGTAAAGGTGATGGGAAGAAAGTGCACGTTCGAAAGCCTAGGCCGCGTTCAAGAGAGACCCAATCCTCAACGACTTCTCCGACACGAGAGAGCTCCTCGGAAGGAACGAAGCAACACACTCGACGACATCATTCCTCGGAATCTTCTAGAAGACAACACCACCACCACCACCATCATCACTCGTTGGAAGATGAGAAGCCCCCAACAACAAAACATTCGCATCGCAGAAAGTCAAAGACGACAACGTCCGAGGAAAAGGATGGTTCAACGAGGAGGCCGTCCAGAACTAGAGAAACATCAAAGGGGGAATCCTTAACTGATGCCTCTTTTGCAGATCTTACCATTAGAGAAGAACGTGAGTCATAGTGGACCACCAGATTCAGTTTAGAGAGAGAGAGAGAGAGATTTCAGGGGCAAGAATACTATTATTCTTGCATTATTAATTAATGAATTACATATTATATCATCCATCATCTTGCATGCTGTTGTGACTTCAATCATTTAAGTGCCACTTTTCTTCAAATTTTTGGGGGATTTTTTTGTTCCTGTTTATTTTCTATCCATTTGGATTTAACTGTAACAAAAAATTGAAGATAATTAATTCACATTTTGTTTGGATGGTGTAAATTATATTTTTTTGAAATATCAAATTAGGTGAAAAAATGAAGGTATTGTAATTTCTCAAGCTGCTTCAGATAACATTATTACGGGTCACTAAATCATAACCGTACAAAATGGATCAACGGTGATAAAAGAAGAGAGAGAAAGAGAATCATAACCATTCAAAAGTGAATCAATTAATATAAAAAAATAATTGATTCAAAAGATAATCATAACCATTCAAAACGAAGGTCTTGTAATTTTTCACTTGCCTTCCCATTTGCAAATACCACCTCCAAAGAGATATTTTCAAACAGTGAGTATCATTTTACACACATATCTGCATTGCACGGGAAACCTGTTGCCTACTCTCTTTTTTTCAAAATTTCTACCAAACATGGTGTTACTAAATATCCACTTTCATTTAACAAATCACCTACCAAACACCCGTACGTATACCGAATTTCTAAGTTGGTATAAATTGCATCTCTTGAATAAGAGTGAAAGTGCAAGTGTTGGGAAAAGTGATTTGTGCATACATACATAAATAGCCGTATGAAAAAGAAGGGCAGACAGAAATATATTTACTTATTTATATAGAAAACACTATCAAATATAGAACAAAAGTAGAACGGACATACAAACAATCAATCGATTTAAGCATACTACATAATATTGAAAAAGAAAGAAAAAACACCCAAAAAGACAATATTAATGCTGAGGTGTGAAATAACGAAACAAACTACAAATCACGTTTCCAGAAGGAAACAACACTTATCACATAATTGTACAAGCTTTTTTTTTTCATTTTTCAGTACAAGCAATTGAAGCTAATTTCCCACAACATTTTGTGGTTCCAGGCTCTCCTTGTTGGAGATTTTGAAAAGGGGATCCTTTTCACTTGTCTTCAGAGGAGAAAACCTGAGATCAAAAGTATCATCTGACCTCTTTTTTGTAGGTATTGGGGTTCCAATATGCTGGGAGAGCTCTCTTTGGTTTCCACAAAGAGTGAATATATTTTGAATTCTAAGTAGTCTTTTGTGGTTCCAGGTTCTCCTTGTTGGAGATTTTGAAAAGGGGATCCTTTTCACTTGTCTTCAGAGGAGAAAACCTGAGATCAAAAGTATCATCTGACCTCTTTTTTGTAGGTATTGGGGTTCCAATATGCTGGGAGAGCTCTCTTTGGTTTCCACAAAGAGTGAATATATTTTGAATTCTAAGTAGTCTAGAATCCTTATCATCATCCTCCGAACTTCCCTTAAAACAATAATCCTCTCTCTCTGAATTTCTTGCCAAGGAGCCTGCAGCACTAGGCTTGTCAACAGTACATACCCTCTTTTCCTCTATGACTTCTTTCTCCACTTCCTCTTCTTCCCCTTTATCTTCATAACCCTGTTCTCCTTCTCCTTCTTCTTCTTCTTCTTCTTCATATACTGTACTAAGGCATGTTCTTTGACCCAAGTTTGGTGCACAAACATAAGCATCTTCTTGTACACCATTCAAGGTATTTGGACAAGGTGGATTTGAAAAGTCCTCAACAACTTTGTAATCACTCCTGCACAAAACTCCACCAACAATTTTCACTTCCCGGTCAGGGGGTTCTTGATCATCCATGTCCAAATCCATTGATTTCACCATTCCAGGATCGTCCTCACTTTTGTAAATACGCAATAGCCTTCTCACAAACCCACTTGACTCCACTTCTTTAGATTCATTTTCCTCACCACAACCTTTCCTTGAACATAGCTGCAACTCAATTTCTTCCAGTCTCTTTCTCAGGAATTCAACTTCCTCCTGCTGCTGCAATATCCTTTCTTCCATTCTCTTCCTTTCCTGTTCAACAAACTCGTTGGTCATTCTTTGGCACTCTTCCAACTTCTTTTCCAACTCTTGTCTCAGAAGCCGGGTTCGTTCATTTACCTTCAAGTTAATCTCCTCCTCACTTGGAGGAGTTCCTTTCTTTTCTGTAATGTCGAGTTTAGTTCTTAACAAGGCAATTTCTTCCTCTTTCTTCAAAAGCTTTTTGTGTGCTTCATTTCGCTCTTTCTCTCTTTGCTTGTTTTCCATTTGTAGCTTCGAGATAAATTCATCCATTGCAGCAATTCTTGACCCCAAAATGACTGCAGAGGAAGATTCATCATCCTTGACTGGGGGTGTATGAGGGCCACGAACTATACATTTTGCTTTCGCTCCATATTCAAGTGTAGTGATTGTCTTGTGTATCTCCTTAGGATCGGGACTTGCACATAGTATCATTAAAATTTTTGACTTATCATCTTCAAAGGAATCCTTAAAAAGGGAAAACAGAAAAAGTGAAACTAGGAATAACAGAGAACAGGAATCCAACAACTTACTCAATTAAAAAACAAGCATTACCTGCAGAAGCATGGTAAGTTTGCTGTCCCTAAAAGGCACATGTGAATCTCCATTTGCAATGGACTCGACCACTCTCTTCAGTGCTGTATTTCCTTGATTGATTTTTGCTGTCTATAATAATTTCATTGAGTAGTATAATAATCAGCATAGAAAAGGCAGATTTTAGGAATAACATAAACATGGCAAAAAAGTTACCTGCATTTTGGCCTCAAATCCAGTTTGACCAGCTTGTTCAATATTTTCTGATCCTGCCATGTCTACAAGCATTAGCCGTCCTCCCACAGTTGGGACATCAAGGATTACCTGATCAGAATGGAAGAGATGTCATTAGTTACCAATCGAGGAAACTTAATAAATTTTATCAGAACCACCTTCCAAAGCAACCATACCATGCAGTGACTTCTAGAACTCCTGTCATTACAAAGTGTGCTTTTAACAATCCTTCGCTTCTCCACTTTCTGAATTTCTTTTGAGATCTTCCCTGCTTCATTTCCAGATATATAGGTTGCGTTCTTAGCCTTTTTCCCCATCACTTCGAGCTTCACCTACAAGTAAAATGGAAAAAGTAAGAAAGTGATGCCCATATTAACTAAAAAACAATGGTTCATTATTGATTTGTAAAACTAGTCCACATAAACATGGTTTTCGGTAAAAAAATAAAAATAAAAATCGATAAATGTTTTATTATGATGATGATGGTCATGTATGAGTACAAATAAGAGAAACACTGCCCTTCCAAAACAAGCTTGTAAGAGAAACACCAAAAAATATTTCTACAGAAGTTTTAAACAGCATTTGTTAACTTATGTTTTTCCTGCCAAGAGTCGTCTTTTGGTTGCAAAGAAAGCATACCAACTTCTGAAGTGAGAAATATCTTACAAGCCCTCTTCAGATAGAGAAGCATATATTCATACAGCCAAGAAAAAATGGAAAGCAAACTCAGACACAATAAATAAACTTAGCCACCCAAATAGTGGCTGCGCAAAAAAACTAGTTCACTTGTCCTGCCCTTGATCCGACCTTGACCAGACCCATAAATACTCATATTTTTTGAACTGGTTTAAATACTGACCCACTTTTATTTGGGTCAGTTTTAGACCTGACTCGTTTTAATATTGACTCACTGACCCAAAACTTGACCCATACCCATTATGTAAAAAAAAATCACAATTACATTAAAAGAAAAGTTTTAACGTAAAACAATTACGTCAAAATTTTTTATGGAAAATATTTTCATAAAAATTTTACAGATTTCAACGGAAATATTTTCGTCATCCAAAAATTTTGACGGCAAAAAATTTCATCAAAATTCTTTACAATTTCAAATTTTGGCGAAAGTTTTCAACGGAAACATTTTCGTCATCAAAAAATTTTGACGGCAAAAAATTTCATCAAAAATCTTTACAGATTTCAAATTTCGGCGAAAGTTTTCGACGGAAATATTTTCGTCATTAAAAAATTTTGACGGCACAAAAATTCATCAAAATTCTTTACAGAATTCAAATTTTGGCGAAAGTTTTCGACGGAAACATTTTCGTCATCAAAAAATATCGACGGCAAAAAATTTCATCAAAATTCTTTACAGATTTCAAATTTTGGCGAAAGTTTTCGACAGAAATATTTTCGTCATCAAAAAAATTTGACGGCAAAAAATTTCATCAAAATTCTTTACAGATTTCTAATTTTGGCGAAAGTTTTCGTCGGAAACATTTTCGTCATCAAAAAATTTCGACGGCAAAAATATTCATCAAAATTCTTTACAGATTTCAAATTTCGGCGAAAGTTTGCGACGAAAAAATTTTCGTCAAAATTTTTAGCGAAACACATTTCCCTCGAAAATTTTCAACTAAATATTTTCGTCAAGTTTTTTGATAAAAAATTTCCATCAAAATTTTCCACGAAACACATTTCTATAAAAAAACTCCGTAAATTTTTTTGACAAAAAAAACATTTTGACGAAAAAAATATTCTGTCAAAATTCTTTAGAGAATCTAAATTTCGTCGAAAGTTTCAAATGAAACATTTCCCTCGAAAAATTTTTCGTCAGAACACATTCCCATCGAAATTTTGAACGAAAAACATTCCGTTAAATTTTTTGACAAAATTCTTTTTTCGTTTAATTTTCGTCAAAACTGTTGACGGAAACCAAGTCAAAAACGGGTCTGGTCAGATTTGACCCAGTTCAGAAACCAAGTCAGACCCACTTCAGAAACCAAGTCAGGTCAGATCCAAACTGGTTCTGAACTAGTTCAACAAAATCCAATCCAAGTCAAACCTGACTTGGATCAAATTAAAGCGGGGCGGGTCAAAATATCTGACCTATAAAAACCAAGTTGGGTCGAGTCAGACAAAAACCTGACCCGACCTGACCCATGCACAGCCCTACACCCAAATATGCACAAGTCATGAAAATGAGTACCAACATATAAATTTCAAGGTTATGCAATGAAACTCAGCCAAATAACAAACCTAAAGCAAAATCCCAGATATGATCTGAACTGAAGCACATCAACCAACATAAGTTATATTACCTTTGAAGAACTGCCTTTAGGCCACCCAAATCCAAATCCCCCTCCTCCTCCACTGGTGGACAAGAGATCATAAATCTCCTCATTGTAAATCTCCAAGACAGTGACTTGAACAAAAGTTCCCAACCCAAGATGCTCTCCCTTTGAATCGCCTTCTCCATCTGCATTCACATCTCCAAGAATGTCCCTCAAAGACCTATACACAATCCCTGCCTGCTTTGAACACCCAAACATGGTGTGACTCTTGCCAGAACCAGTTGGCCCGTACATCATGATGGTGCACTTTTCCCCTAGCTTGATCCCATGGATCCTTGATTCCACAAATTTCTTATAGAATGCATCCAAGTCCTCTTCCTCAGACACAGAAACCCCATCAAGAGTGAAGTCCCGGTACCCAAAATCTGCGCGAACCCGGATAGAACTCAAGTTGGAATTGATCTGAAGAACCGATAAAGGCTTGTCCTTTCGATCTGGGTAGTCACGGATTCTGGCAATGACTTCAATTGGGTGTTCAGGAGGGGCCTCTTTGATGGCAGCGGAATTTGGATTGGGAGATGGATGTGATAGTGGTGTTGCTGTTTTGAGGCCATTGAAGTTGAGGCGGTGCTTGGAGTGTGGAGTTTTCAACTGGGTGGAGTGGTTTGGTTTGGAAGAAGGGGTGGGAGCCATGGACAAAGAATGAATGTCAGAAGCAAAACCCAGAAAGAAAGAAGAAGAAAGATTTAACCTTTGAGGTAGAATCTGTAACCCAATTGAGAAAAACGAACGAGAAAGTGCAAGAAAAGCTAGAAATGAAGATGATGATAGAAAGAGAAAGAAACAAGGGATGGGACTCTGAAACCAGGGTTTTGAAATTTCAACCAAAATGTAGCCGTTACAATCTAACGGCCATATTTGTTCCATTTATATTTTCAGCTGAGAAAATGAATTCTCTTCCAATGGATTGAATTTCGAATTTCGCATTATATATGTATTTTTTTTTTTTTTTGGGGTCCTGAAATAATGTTTAAAGCACAATAACTTAAAAAATAGATAAATTTTTTTAATAGTTTTGGCACATAAATCATGATAAATAAATTTGAATAAAGCGAGGGTCCTTATGTGATCGAATTGGATTAATCGAGTAATCGATGAACCGATAGATATATAAATTTTTTTTGAAAAAAATCTTATTTCATAATTAATATTTATAGAAATTTTTTAGATTAATTTCAAAAGAATTTATTTTTCTTTTAATTACTTTTTAAACATGACTAAATCGTTTTAATATAATTTTTTTTATAACACTAGCCAGCAAGAGTTAATATGGCTTTTATATGTTTTTTATTTTATTTTTAGGCTTTGATGAAAATTATTTTATCATGTTATCAATTAGTGATGAGTCTCACACTTATTTTTATTTTTTAAAAAAAAAAATTGTATGCAAATCGAAGAGTTATAACATGAGAAAACATTTCTCATGCAACATGAGACGTGTTTTTCTTATTTTCATGTTGTAGGAAATAAAATTATCTCTTATACATACATAAAAGCGTATGGTATATTATATGTTTTATTTTTAATGACGTGAAAACCAGAACTTTAACAAAAACGTAGAAGCAAAATTGTACGGTAAAGTGTATCTACGCATTCCTCAAATGTATATACATATAAAAGGGAATAGTATAAAAAATCTCCCTAAAATATATGCAGGAAATGATATGAAAATTTTCATAATCAAATAAAGAACTGTATATTTGTAATTTTAGAATAATTGTTGCCAAATTCCATTGCTTACAAAAAAGATAGAGTAGAGGCTGGGGCAGGAGTAGGACAAAAATTATGTGTGTAGGAGGACATCGGGTATCATTTAGAAAAGAATACAGGTAGGACTAAGAGGAATTAAGTTAATGCCAAACCTTGATGTTTAGAGATATTGTCATTTTATAAAAGAGCTTTCAGGTGCACTTCAATTTAAAAATGATAAAACCTGAACTTTCAGGCATCACCAAGATGGATGGAGAGGTTAGTTTGTCTAGAAAGAGAGGTTAAAATGCCCTTATCTCCATCTAGGTAGCATTTTAAGGCTACTAAACTATAGTGTTGTAACTGCATTTCAAACCTTCAATCAAATAAACAGTTCTGAAGCACCTTCTCATCAAAACCCTCTTGATAAAAGGCGAAACAATATGCTTAGGCTAAAACTAACAACATAGCATTTAGTAACAAAATAAGAATACAGAGCAACACATTCCGTTTTTTCTGTTTTTGCTGGTGGGTGTTTGGTATTAATGCTTAAAAATAATGCAAGCTAATAAGGATTGTAAAAAGGTTTAGAAGGAGTCAGTAACATTAATGCATGAAGATATAAAATTATTTGGCAACTCTTGAGAAGCTAATGGCTCTGAAATTATCAATATTCAGTAACACCACTACTACTTTAGTTTTGCATATTCACCATAAGTCCATAACTATATTTCACGAGTCAAAAAATAACACGGTATTTGATACTGTAGTGATCATTAAGCTTGAAAGCGATTGTGATTTCAGCAAGGAAAGGGAGCTGTGAATGTAAGACTCAAATGTTTCTTGACCAAGAAAGAATGGCATACAAATTTTATTGAATTCGAGGAATCACATAAGAAACCAATTTAAGATGAAAATGATTAAACGTAAATTAGATTAAAAAAAGCGTCTAAGATGGAAATTAAAATTTAAGATGTAATTTGTCCTTACCTCAAAATAGGAGACAAAGCAAAAAGGTGGTGGAGCATGACTTTAAAGAAATGGCTCAAACCAGAGTCAGTTGCTCGTTGTATCCAAAGAATATTACATTTCACATAGTATCCAAAGAACACATTGAGGACAAATAAGGATCAGGTGCATAACACTGCAAAGAAGTACTTCATTTTTCTTTTTCTTAAGAAATTATGTTGTTCTTCAAAACTTTAAGGGCAAAATAATGGATTTGAATTTGATTGCTGGAAAGGGTTTGAGTTATGGTGAAACAAACATAGGACATATTTGTGCCATGGAAAACATTAGAGGAAAAAAAAAACTATATCAAATCAAACAGAGTCTAAAACTGAAAAGTAGTTCTCTCCACAGTGAATTTAAGTGTTCATATCTAAATCATCTCCAAGCATTATTCCTTAAAGATGAAATATGTTACATTTAAACAAAAAGTAGCCTGTTCCCTTAGAGCTACATAGTGTGGTTTACTTCCATCAGTATATCCATGTTACAATATTGAAGAACTTGTAACAAGACAACACTATCAGAAAAAAAAAAAAAAAAAAAAAAAAAGCAAAGGCAAACGTGGAAAAAATAAAAAGATTACAGACAGTGATGTTGGAGGATTTTTAAGTCCAACAGAGAAAATGCATAGTGCCTTCACCAGGAACTCATGAAATCACAAAGACCCTTAGCTCTCCTCTATCTCCTCTTGTGAGGCGGGTATCCTTGTCGAGATATGTAACTTCGAATTCACCACTTCCTGTATTAGATGGAGGCCTAAATGCATCTGGAATTCGAGGTAAGTCTAATGGTGGCAACTGTGACAAATTCCCAGTTGTCTTCACAGTCGTTTTCTCAAACACTATCTTGATCTTTGCAGATCCTGGGACATTACAAACCCGCACACCATAAAAAGGCAGTTTCAACTCTCAAGACTGTACAATACTACAATTCTCATATGTAACAAATAGTAGTAATCATGCAACAGTAACTATGCATATGCACATTATAAAAAAAGAGCATAAAACCAACCTATGAGTTCAAATTTGTGAGCTAATGTGGCTGTTACTTCGAGGGGTGATAGGGGCCATGGAGCACCCAATTGAAGCTCCACTATATTATCAAAATCTTTGCTCAAGATGTCAATTCGTTGAAAAACCTATCAGCAAAACAAAGCATAAATGCAATAAATATTACACATTTCGCAAACTCATTATTGAATTACATTTTGGAGACAAAAGCATATGCATAGGAATCAAATATAATTAGATCAAAATTTTAAATAATCTAACTGTTACTCAGTCTCAGCTGCAGGTCAAAATGAATATATTTCTTCCCGGGGGAAAAAAATAAAGAGCAATCATCACAAATATGTTATCATCATGAAACCAACAGTTGACAATGAGAATAGGAAGAACAAGGGCTTTTATGATAATCTATAACTTGGTCAACCAATATGCATCATTTTTAACTTGAATGTTTCCTACTCCGGAGAACATGCAATCAAACAAAAATAAATTAACATAATATCATTATATGTGGTCAGCAACAGACCTGTCCAAGAGTTATAGGAAGAAGCCTTCCTGTGGGAGGGCCAGGACGGCTTCCACCTAGAGTGCGAGATGAAAATGCACTGCTATATATCAGTTTCCATCTTCCTTGCAATTTATCAAGGTCAGGTGAGAGATCTACTAGTCCTCCAGCAGCTTCAAGTTCCTTAGCCGCAGTATCTGCCTTTCGGAGATCATCTTCATTTGCAGCAAGACCTCTATTTAGCCCAGAAACAGCACTCTGCTTTAACAACTTCAAGCATAAGAATCAAGTTATAGAACCCCCCCCCCCAAAAAAAAAAATAAAAAAACCAAAACCCAAAAAAAAAAAAGGAAAAGAAAAGAAAGAAAAACATATTGCAAATTATAAGTTCACGAGTATTCCAAATTAATGTGTGACCATTGCTTTATGTACTATGTAGTTGTCAACATTATTTTTTTTCTAACAATCTTAAACAAAGAGACTATCCATAAAACTGTAACCAGAGATATCATGATGCTGGCTAGGGAGGAACAATGTGCATATCAACTAGCTTTTTGTTGAGCCTACAACCATCTGCAACCTAAAATAAAGCTCAAAAAAGATTGTTCTCAAACTTTTTAGCATTTTACCATCTGTAGGACCAAGAACAAATATTTAGACATGGAAGCCAAATAGATAAATTCAACCTATTGCTACAATTACCACATAGTTTTCCCTCTTTTGAGTTTTAACTAATCACACACTCAGCATGACAATAGTTCTAGTTACTCAAGAAATTCATCATTTAATTTGTCAACACAACAATCAATAAAGCAGTTTCAAGCAACCCACTATTCCAACAGCACGCAGAAGGACAGCAACAAGTATAAAAAAGAGCCAAATCAGAAGGGATACGAAAATAAGAAAAATGTAAAAGGAACCGAAATTCACATACAAAACAAGCTAATAAGATATTGGAAAACGGTGCAAAACAAAAAGAACCCACCAGCAGATTGAACTTCAAAGACGAGATAGGATCAGAGCTGGTGTCCCCTGAGTAACCAGAAGAAGTTGGAGGAGGGTCAGCCACATCCACAGCAGATTTGACAACAAGGAAGGGCCTGAGATAACGCCTGCGTTGAGAGGTTTGGAGGTTACCCTTTGGCTTGAGAACATGGATGTTGCAGCAGGGAACAAAACCCCTTGCAAAGGAAGAAGAACAAGTAGAAGAAGAAGAAAACGGTAAGGAGTGAGAGAGAGAAGATGCAGGGTGAGGAAGAAGGTTGAGGGAAGCCATGAACAAGAAGTAAATTTTAAATGGGTGGATTTGAAATATGGTTTTGAAATTGAAAGTGTGGAACTTGGAAGAAATTATTGGAGAAAGAAGCAAATTTAGTATGTGAATGAGATTGTGTAAACATTACCAAACAAGAACATAGAAGAAGGAGACAAGAAACATCAAAAGGACGGGAAGAGTTCGTATACTTTTTATTGTTCGCCACTTATACGCCACGTAATGCTCCCTATGCCGTACCTTTCTCATTTTTTCAATCTCCTTTCTCTTAATTTTAAAATATGTTTTTATATTAAATAATATTTTTGATTTGTGTAATATATTTATATTTAATATTTAATAATTTAGCAACAACAAAAAACTAAATTTATAATACCCATTAATTTCGTAAAAAAATAATATCACAAATATTTATATTAAATTAAATAAGATGTAATCATAATTCAACGATTCTAATAGTTTCAACTAAAAACGCAATGCAACTTTTGAACCGTTTGTTAAATATCTGCAACGCGTGGTGTAGTGTCAGAAAAAGTCAGACACGAAGTGTCGATGCATCATAGGTAATATCTACTATAATATTATGAATTAAATGAATCTCATGTTATAGGAGGTAATTTATTCTCTACATATATAAAAATGTGTGGAGCTCACATGGACTCTATATATTTTTAGGTATACATAGGGGATTATTTTATTTTCTACAATATGAAAAACATTATACCCTAGTAGGCTAGTACTATAGTAAAAATATTTTTGTTTTTGTTATAGAAAAAAAATTTGTCACACTCACGTAAAAATAAACGAGTCTTATTATAAATAAAGAAAAGAGGAAAAAAATAGCAGTATGCACTATGAATGTTTTGTGCAGGAAAAACAAAAACATTAAATCCAAATACTATATACATAATACATTATTTAATAATTGGATATTCCTTGGTCTGGTAAATTCACTTGAAGCATATTCAAGTCAGCCCATAGTTATAAGCCCATTCTTAGCAATTCAATCTGGATTGTGGACTGAATTTGTAGGCAAAACAGATTCTGGGTTGGGCTGCAATTGAAAACTAGCCTTTTAGTTCGTGCTTTGCCTGGCTACATGCATATTAATATTTGTAGACGTAGTGAGTATTTAAAAAAATTAAATTTAAGTAGATTAAGTGAAAAAATTAAAACCAAGAAAGAAGTATACCTTCCTTTGAACATGAGTCGTTGAGCTTTGTTAAATGATATGCATATTTGTAATATTTTTGACTGAGAGTTTCTATCTCCTTCATATACATTCTTATATTGGTAATGTTGTAGTTGATTTTCGTTAGTATTGCAGAGGTGACTTAAAAGTCTATTTGGATCCTCTTATTTTTAAGCTACAACCTACTTATAAACTAAAGCTAAAACAAAGAGCTTAAAAAAAAGAAGCTAAAAGCTATTTGGAAATTACATAAAAAAATTAGCTTAAAAATTACTTAAAAGCACATATTTCAAGAAAATTATCTCTCTATCTATCTTTATCACTCTTTATTTAAAAAAAAAAAACAATTCAAGAAAAACAGATAAGAGCTTGAAAATAAGAGCTTTTAGTTTTCAGCTTTTTTCTTCATTACAAAAAAAAAAAGAGCTTTTCTCAAAATCTATTTGGCCTAGCTTATATTTATAAGTAGCTTCTAGTTTAAAAATAAGAGAATCCAAACAGGCACTAATTCTAGCTCTCAATTCTTTCCTGTTCTGGACTGACCACTATTAACTAAATACATTTGGCCCGGCCTGCCAAGGTACATGAAGATATCATATTTTTATTTTTATTTTCATGGTAAACACAGACCATGGATCTCAAAGTAGATGATCTTTCACCTCCTCCACAGGAGCATCTCTTCAAGTAGAGGTTTTTTTTTTTTTTTTTCCAATAGCTGAAGGGTATTCCCACCTCCTTGGGGGTGAGACTAATCCCAAACCGAACACTTTAGGACCCTTGCGGGGCGGCTCTACCCAATCTTTTTTTTTCATACCCAAGACTCGAACTCAAGACCACTGGTTAAGAAAACACACCCTCCGGACCAATTGTGCCAAAGGGTTTGGGTTTCAAGTAGAGGTATTAGTATAGGGAAAAATGGTTATAACTTCATTTTCTTTTCTTTCATTTACATCTTTCTTAATCTTTTATAATTTTCAACCTCTCAAATTTTTTAAATAACAATAAAAAAGTATTCATTTTTAATAAACTAGAAAAGATGCCTACAACATTATAAAATATGCATTAATAAAATGCCTTTAAAATATTAATAGTTTGCATAGTTATAATTTTTTGCATTTAATATTAAATTTTCATGTTTTAATGAAAAAATATTTGAATAAACCCTCGTAAGACATCTTTATTGCTAAAGCCGATGATACCCGGACACGCACATTTTTTTTTAAAATGCATGTCAGACACCGACATGCGGTTAATATTTTGAGACACGTTATCAACTCTCTGACACGTTTCGACATGTTTTTTATTTTAGTCTTATTTTTTTTTTTGGTAGATAAATTTTAGTCTTAATTTTATTTTATTAACTAAACATAAAAAATAATAATTTATAAATCAATTTGTTTCTGTTATGAAATTTGACATGACAAATTAACAAGATACGAAAAATAATTTTTTTTTTATATTTATATTTTGAAATTTGAATATTTGATTGGTTATATGATTTATTATGGACTGTTATATGTATTAAATATAAATTATATTATATATATTAAAAATATTATTTAATATCAAAACGTGTCCCAACGTGTCAAAATATATCATTTTTTAGAATTAACGTATTGTGTTGTCGTGTCTCATGTCTCGTGTCAATATCAGTGCACGTAGGCTATGAGAATTGAGATAATACAGTAACAGAGGAACTTTCGTCCCTTTCTCATCTTTTTGCCCCTCTCTACGGGTCTTCCTATAGCCTACCTCTATGGTCGGTTCTCCCTTGAATTCCCAAAATCAAAAATATAAAATATCTTAATAATATTATACTTTTATTTTATGTATATTTCATTAATGCTATATTTTCATTCTATTTATACTAATAATAATAGTGGCATAGGATTAATAAAATGTTTTATAAATATATATAAGATAACATAGTATATATATATATATATATATATATATATATATATATATATATATGTTTTGCTTAGCATATTATGACTTTAAAGAAAATTTATCAAAATATAATTAAGATTGAGTTAGAATATTATTTTATAAAAAAAAATTAACAATTATAAACATTTTTCATGTCCTGAAAAAATTTAATTAAAATATGTAGTTAAGGAAAATATTATTATAAAAAATAAAATAAAATGAAATAATATAGTTATTAAATTTAAATATGAATATTTCTGTTATACTTCATGATATTATAAATATGTTTAATACTTTTAATCAAATATTAGTTTTAAAATATGTAGATTATAATTTTTTTAAATAAAATAATTTAATATTTACTAAATTTTTATTCATTAAATAAAAAATCATAATCATAAATATTTAATTTAATCCACCCATAATGGTGGATAGGATAATTAATATTCATTATTCAGCGTTGCTGTTTACAGCTGTTTCTCGTCCATGTGCTTTGGTCTGTTTTCGCTTTGCTACTACGGACCAATTTCATTATTTTGTGTTTGGGGTGGTCAAGCATGTGTAGGCCCAATTTCACAATAGCTATGGTTTTCCAAAATTTGTGTACTAGTTTATTCAAAAAAAAAAAAAAGTGTACTAGGTTATAAAGTATATAAATAGGGAAATAGAAGTATCATATTGTAGGAAAATGGCTATGTCATACTATAGACACAACCAATGTGGACCCCACCACTTTCTTTTCTTCTTTTTTTTTTTTAAAATTGGTGAGGTTCACATTGATTGTGTCTATAGCATGACATAACTATTTTCCTACAACATGATACTTCTATTTCCCATATAAATAAAAGGTGGATAGTATATAAATAAAAGTGTATCTACCTTTGATTTAATTTAAAATACAGCATAACTTTTAACTCAGTAAAATTTAAGATTAGGTACACTCTTATGGCTTATATGTATATTTTACAAAACAGTTTTACTTTAAAATTTACAAACACACAAAATCAACGAATAGGATCTACTACATACTTGTTGGGGGATTAGGTGAATTTGCCATAAGTGTGATTGGGTAATACTAACAGTCTTTATGTGATAATCATGAGGAAGTTGTGGTTCGTAACTTAAGGTATATATATATATTAATGGAGCACAAGATAAGTAGTTGGATATACTAGCACTTACTCTGCAAAGTTTCATACTAAATAAACGCTGTATTTTAGGCAAAGTTTCATCCATAACATGATAATGTTATGGACCTAATAAAGAATCATATTCTAAAAGGTCGAATAAAAGACGACACATAAAAAATAAAATCTTCTATTAATGACAATCTTATCCAGACAGTTAACCAGTTGGACTTGGGTCCCAATATTTCTAAGAGACTCAAAAGTAGTACACTCTTACCATTAACTCATCTATAAATAAGGGGTTAAGTCAATAAGGTATACACATTTTAAACCCTCTCTCTTAGCTGTCATTGTGCTCACACTCCACCCTTTGATTATACCGTTATATCGTTTATATAGTACACAGTGATCCACTGATTTTTAAGATATTTCTCCTATAAATAATTGAGAGAGGACACACAGATCCAATAGAAACATACCAACCATTAAGTTGGACATCCCGATTTATCATATTGGAATATATACCTCCAAATAGTATCTGTACTCATATTAGATATGTTTTTGAATCAGACACTTCACGAACACATACGTGTATGACTGAAGCACTTGCTTCAAGTGCAATAGAATAGACGAGGCTTGTGTAATAAGAAGCTCCAATGCATTTTGCTTTCAACCTCGTATTCTACGAGGGCACAAAACATCATTGTAACCACGTGGGCGGGCGTAATGGTTCAGCATCTCGTCCCTTAAGCAAGTGATTGAGGGTTCGAACTCCAACTCTTGTGAATGGAAAGCATTTCGTGGCCAGCTCTTTACCGCTTTGTGCGCTGACCCAGGGCGAGGGATTAGTCTCATGACTATCGGCTGTGGGGATACCTGGATGTAATCCAAACAAAACATCATTGTTATTAA